GCAGAGGCCGGCAAACACCGTGGATAAAACATGAGATAAACAGACAAACGCGAGAAGTATACTATTATATGAGCTATGATACGAACTACGAATATCGACACGTTACCTGTTATACACCTACAGGTAAAATCAACCTCGCACGCGCACAGGTAAGCGAACTCGTGACCACCGAACAGGGACACAGGTAAACAACACTCAATGCATTCGACCAGAACCCACCGAACCAGTTAATGGATTGTCAGCTTCATTTCGAAACATAAAAAAGTATAATAGGTTGCAAAAATACTACAAGAAACAATATGCGAGAAAATTCCAAAGATAAACTACGAGTACGAGCACATGTAAGAATAAAGAAGTTTAAGAATATGGGATTCGCCGAAACCAACGTGGTCAATACTGACATAAAAAAGCTAGTTGTACTGTGCCAACCAACAAAGCTACTCACAACATTGTGAAATACGTAACACAATGAACTATTCTGAAAAGATGGCAGTAATAAGTAATAACACATACATGTAATACAAAACAAAATGAACAAAACTATATACAGCAAAAAGTACAAATCGTTATAACACACACTGAATATGTAAATAGAAGAACAAACTGAGGAACAGAATAAATAAAGTATATCAAACGTAAAAGTAATATATACAGATATGTAAGCTAACAATGCATGGCAAAGAGAAAACAGGTAAACTTGAATGGTAGAAGTTATATAGCAAAAGAAAAAGTTCAAATTGGGGTTAAGATGACAATACATGGAGCAGCCAGACTGCTGTTGCAGTATATAAAAACGAAATAAATCTTTATTGAAATTAATATCATGGGGGACCCACATTAACTCGTACGCATGATTACTAAAAATAAATCGGCTATAATTACAACGTTTACCAAAAGCCATGTCAACACTACTAAAACAAATTATAATTACGGGCAACACCTTATAGGTGAGAATAACAAAGTCCAGGGACTCGCTAAGGTCAAATAAGCTTCTCTGTACCGCCGCCATTGTCAGTAGGATTATAAAAGTTTCGTTAACGGAAAAGCACTCACTGAATCGATTCCGCCTCATCTTCATCGATCACTAGACGGTCATCTGAGTCCTTGTCACTATCGTCACCTTCACTCATATCCATGTAGACAGACCTAAAACGCTGCCCAGGAACAAGATCTCCATTGGATAGCACCTCAGGTGACCTGTTGGTGTGCCTTCCCCTCTTCGTTCGCTGAAATCCTTCCTCGTCAATCTCGGGGCTATTACGTTTTCCACTGTCGGAGACACCACTCCCTCCGGGCGAGGGGCTCGCGGTTTCCTCCTGGTTAGGCGGCGTCGGCCCTTTCTCGTCCTGCGTCGGTAGAACAATCGGTTCAGCAGTCGCCTTAGCAGCATATGAGAGCTTTGTTGTCTCCACCGGTCTCTCAGGACATTTAGACTGAACATGGCCGACCTGCTGGCAGCGCAAGCATATCGGTGGCCTGCCTGGAACCATGATTAGGGCTGTCTTCCCAAAAATCCGTATCCTGTGAGGAATATCATCCTGATCACCCTCCCGAATAACCATAGTTATCACTCGTGTGCCAGTCTCTAGAGTCACACCACTAATGTCAGTCTCCTCTCGGTGCACATTAATGACCTTTCCATAGCCCTCAAAGTAACTGGCAATGGCATTATCAGCAATCCACGAGGGAAGCCACTGGACCCTAATAGTTAGACGCCGCTGGTCACAAGGCTCAGGGTGTAGCACAAATTGCTCACAGGAAATGGGTCCGGCAGTTACTGTTCTGTCCACAAGATCAATATTGGAAAGCGTCGCAAACCATGTGTTCGGAGCCTCGCACCGGAAAACTGATGCCATGTCCTTCCCAGGGACGCCACCATCCAGCAACGCCTTCACGATTTCAAAGCGGGTGACGGAATTCCTCCTCGGACCGGACACATGCACCCTCAACGTACTCCTCAGGACATCAAGATCGATGTGATCTTCAGACATTGCGAAACAAAACGAACCAACCAAAAATAATCACGCTTGGCTTCGTTTTGAAGACGTTTTGGATTACCGCCAATTTTATCGAGAGAAATACATTCAATACAATTAAAGATAAGGTAACGACATATTTGTGTGGAATGCAAAGAAATGATTTTAAAACTTAACTAATAAAACAAACACCAAATGATTCGTGTCATAAAAATTACCAAAGAAATAATCATACTAATGAGCAATTAACTTGTTTGTGTATTAATGAAATGAATTAAAGACGTATATTACTTACCATCTCTGTCCATATGAAATTTCTGTAAGTCAACATCAATAAAAAAACAATACAGCCTTTTTCCAGATGATGACAGGTATCACGTAAGTCAGTGGTTTTCCTTAGCTATGAAACATTTGCGAATTCAGGATTCATACCTAGGTTTTTATAAGTCGTCAATAAATCCATTTCCACTTCAATCTGTAAATGACACGAACAGCTGTAAGCACACTGAAAATAAACGCTTGAAATATTGTAGGGGAAATTGTTCATTTTCATTTGATTTTTTTAATGAGCGTTAACGCAATCCCCACACTAATAAATTATTTAACACCATTAGGCGATCGCAGAGGTCAATCTGTCCGAAGTGCAATGGACAGACCTCACCCTGGGGAAACCGCCATTTTGACCACGGTTGTCCCTGCACCAGGTAAGTATGACTGAACTTAAAATTAAATTTCGTTATATGTTGATTATAAACATTAATCTCACAGTGTTCATTGAAAGAAATATAATTTGTCCATTCAGTATTATTTCATCTGTATCTTGGATGATAATAATTTCATATCCGTGATACGTACAACCAATTTCTAGTTAAACTGAAATATCGATGTATTACCAAATAAATCTCTAAACGGGAATAAAAAAGGAAATATTCTGGTAATATTACTGGTGTACAGCAAGACAAACGTATAATGTACTTAGGTTGACGTATCTACTACGATTACTAACAAACTTCCGTTATATTTCATGGAAATGCTATTTGATTAAACGAAATAACCAATCACATGTTGGATTGAGGAATTATGTAATTAAGGTTGTTTGTTATCATTGACATTGGAGAAAGTTTTATATTTTGATTTCATCGTTTAGACAAGAAAGTAGAGACATCGATATGAACCGTTATCACCGTAGAATCTACGTCTGTTTAAGCTCGATTTAGCTCCCTTTGTATCCGGAAATGTTTATCTAAATAACGCATGTTATATTGTACAAGAAAAGATTATCCTCTCTGATGACAATTATTATTTAATGGTGTAAACACAGAAAAGTCGTATATCAAAAATAGAAAAAGTCATGTATATTAATGAAAACTTCGTTTGAAAGTGTCATGAATGTTATTGGAATGTAAAAGTCGACGGTGTTAAAGTCCTGGTTCAAAATACCAGCTATCATTTGTGTGGAGTGATTACTTATCAATAGAGATAACTTGATAAGGAATCAACACATTTGTGTGAAATGCAAAGAACATGATTTTAAAACTTAACTAATATTGGAGCTCCATTACATCGAACCAAATGATTCATGTATAGTTAAAATGCAGCCAATGAAATAATCATATTATGAGCAATTAACTCATTTGTATATTAATGAAATGAATTAAAGACGTATATAACTTTTCATTTCGGACAGAAATGTCACCATGTACTTTTATCCAAATAATGACAGGTATCACGTAAGTCAGTGGTTTTCCTTAGCTATGAAACATTTGCGAATTCAGGATTCATACCTAGGTTTTTATAAGTCGTCAATAAATCCAATTCAACTTCAATATGTAAATGAGTAGAACAGTTGTAAGCACATTGACAATAAACGCTTAAAATGTTGTTGGGGAAATTGTTCATTTTCATCTGATTTTGACGGGGATGAGCGCGAACGCAGATCCCCACACTAATAAATTACGTGCCAAGTCACCATTAGGCGATCGCAGAGGTCAATCTGTCCGAAGTGCAATGGACAGACCTCACCCTGGGGAAACCGCCCTTCTGACCACGGTTGTCCCTTCACTAGGTAAGTATGACTAAATCATAAAGTAAATTTCGTTATATTTTGATTCTAAACATTAAACACACAAAGTTTACAGTGATATTCAATTAATTTATTCTGAATCTCTTTTAACTTGGAATTAATATGTGTAACGCAGGGTATTTTGCATTTGACATTCTGATCGGAATTCAGTTTGAAAAAAACCCCTCAGTGTTCGGAATGATTAAAATAAATCGAAAAAAAGTATTATTTAACAGTATGAAACATTCACATGACATTCTGCAATGTTTAGCAGTAATAAATTGATGAAAAAATACAAGTTTGTTAAAATGGAAAAAAAGGAAATTTAGACAAATTAAAGTATTCACATGCTAAACATGTGTTCTGTTATGTTTTCCGAAGTTGAGCTCGATTTTGTAAAACGGATGATCATATGCAAATTTTAATAAACAATCAATATGAACCATTCAAAATTATTTGTTCGTGAAAGCTATGTTCATTTGACTTAAGTGGAGAATTCAAGTTATCGGAATCGTTTACTTTGAACAAGGAAGACGTTTTTATCATAACCTAAACTCCAAAAATATGCATTGCAGTAGTACATATACATACTTATTTTCGTTTTGATATACATTCAAATGTATGTAGATGTAAATAACAAATAATACCTCGCTTTATTCAGAACAGTATGGAAAGACATGTAGATTTATATAATTTCCTTTGCTTTTATCATGTATTATTATGTAAATTATGTATTTAGTAAGTATGATTTAAATGTATCATGGTGACATTGATTACAACTTGTTTAAAACTGCAAAGTAAAATAATGAATGCTCCCTACAAGTTGGTAGCAACACCCAATGAGCGACATGTGTAGGCGAACGGACAGGTGTAAACAAATCGGTTCTGCTCTGGTTAATCGTGATACAAACAACATGGATCGAACGACCGGTCATGATTTGATGTGAAAATATTACACTGGAATGTCCGACCCGAAGAAAGGTAAAACATGCAATTAGTAAACTAGTTAAGGATAAACAATTTTACAACATGCAGGTACTTGTACATCGACATCTCTCAATGCATATATTGAATCTACCATTTTGCTTCATGTTACCTTACTAACGCTCAGTCATTCATTGCTGTATTTAAGTATACTTGTCCCCGGTGCATGCCAGTAAAATACTACAGATAAATACTACTGATTTCAAATTTGCGAGCTGAATGATTAAAGTTGGAGAAATTAGAAACGATGTACTGCATGGTAGTCCCAAACGCTTCCCACAAATTGATCCATGTGTATAAAGTCAGCTGTCATGCTCAACTGCATGTACGCTGGAGGTGGTATTGATGTCAACCCAGTGTCAAAATCACACAGAAATATTTATAAACATACTCTCAAAATGATGATATTTTGAATGTAATACGTTGTATAAAGCTGTCTTGTGTTAATCAGAGAAATACGATAACAATCTGCATTACCTACAACATAACTACAGACTTATACCTTGTCTATGTTCATAAGGTTACAAACACTCGCATGCTCTCAACTATGAAAACATCTCCTGCTATTTTCAAATAGAAAAATATTTTAGTCAACACTAAATTAACTCGTTAATAAATCAGAACCCATGTGATTATTAACAAAGAAGAAAAATCGAAAAATTAACTGTCGTGCAAATAATTTTTTCTTTCTGTTTTGGGAATTCATAAGTTACCAACATAAACCTTTACAGAACCAATGCAGTCTTCTTTTGTAACATCGATGACTTTGTCACAATGTATTGCAGACATGTAAAACAGGTGTATACCTAGTTGCCGCCAGCTTTTCACATTGAAACACTTAACTATTGTTTGCTGTCGCCGATCCATGTCACAATAGTCTATCGGATGTCTGAATTTGACATGTCGCCTTGAATAAATCAATGATTCGCCTTATTGGTATTATGGAAGCCAGGTAAAGTTTTATAGATATGCACGGTTCTTTGGTCTAATTTAGGCTAACGTCTCTGAAAGGACCAACTTCGATTTAATATAACTCTATGACCTGAAATATAGGTAAACACAAAATCTTTTTCACATTCATTTTGTAAAGAATTTTCAAGCTAGCAGACGACATGTTAAGGCTTTTTCAATCAGCTGTTTCCAAGGTTTCAACTACTGGAGGCACTTGACATCACACCGAACGACTTAAAAGAAGCCTTCACTTTATCCAATTCTAATTGTTATGGGGAAGCATCTTTCAATGCAGTGTCTTTTGTGCTCACTCCGTTTGTGTCTGACAAAGTTTACATGAATAATCCCCAACTTTTTGTACCATTTGTATTTTTGAACTATAAACAGTATTGATACATGCTTGTGTATTTCAGAAGTGTTTGGATGTGTTTCTTCATATTCTCGATACAATTTTTATTTATTTGCCAAAGGCACTGTATTCCATGTTTAACTATTCAGTTATTGCTGAAGAAACCTTTGAAGAGTCTTAACATGGCCTGACACGGAAAGCATCCTACCGTAATTAGTCCTATAAATCTATTGATCTCTTTGTTGCAGTCATCTTTGTGTTCATTACACTCTTCTGAAATGTCGTTTTGCTGAAACAGTTAAAAGGACATCAAAGTTGTGTTCATGATGGTACACAAATCAACATAAGTTTGTAGAAAGCTTTTACCTTTCTCAGGAGAGATGGACATATCGTTTTTGAAATTGTTCAGATTTGTTTTTGCAGAGTTTGATGTTATTCGCCAGTCTTTACCCGTTTTTGTAACTTTTATTTACATAGAAATACGATGGGTGAAAAGAAATCAGGATACATCCTTGTTTGCAGATAAATATTATGCCGAATCCATTTTTTTTAAAACTTAAATCTGCCACTTATTAGAAACACTTTGTATAGTTCTTATACCGATCAATACGTCGTTCTACGATATCTTAATACTGTACAGCTGAGTGAGACTTTGTTGCCGATTTGAGGAAAATCATTTTAAGTTCTTTTTAGTCTTTTTGTACAAATTTGTGTGTATAGACAAAATTATCAGTTTAAAGTGAAATCCAAAATAAAGATGAAATTCTTATAGTATGTATATCCCCATTAAACCACTGGATTGTTCCATTCTAAATATTTAAAAAGTGCCTCGGTACGGAGTTAGTCTGTTTACTCTCTGTACTTGGATTTACCAAGGTTTACATGGCGGGTGTCGTTGATGAAGCAGAAGACGCTTACTCTTCCGGAACAGATGGTTTTCATTTCCTTGGCATTGTCTCAAGGGTATCCAAGTAAATCTTTCTCTTGTTAATTTCTTGCCCAAATTTCATCGATTTCAGGTTGGATTTGAGATTCTGTTGTCATTTTGGTTGTTTTCTTGTTATATGTGTACTTAAGTTGGTTAATTGATAATCTTCAATCCCGAAATTATCCGATGTCGAAAAGATTTCATTGGATCGTTGTTGTATAATGTATCTTGAGACAGATATGATATCATGTAGTTAAACCAGATATATACATGCCGAACTGGACAGCTGGACATTAGAAAGGAAAGTAACTGAAATCGTTGTACATAAGACACACAAGTGAATTGCACCTTTATAAGTAATTTTATTTTTTTTAAAATGCAGTCGTTGAATGCAATAATACTAAATTTCTCGACAAATACCACACAAATTATTATGGTTCACAAGCTACTGTGTAATATCTTCTGGTTATGAAAATTCGAATAAATAATCAACTTTATTTATTTTACAACAATTGCGAAGCAAGTTTTTCCAACTTATATAAATCACTCTTTTGACCCGAGGGGATCTTACTGTAGGAGGAAACCGGAGTACCCGGGGAAAACCCAAGTGGTCGGGCAGGCGACCCATCATTATATATAAATAGATATATTTAAATGGGTCCTTGGTGCAATAAATTCGTTATGTAGTTTGCTAGTGACCCCCTACAGGAATATAGGGGTTCAGTCAGATTGGTAGGGGGATTCGGGCTTTTTTTTTATTAACATTTGATCATTAAACATACAAAAGCTATCAATTACCAAATCCAAAACAATGAATATGTCACTGAGTACTTCATTTATAGAATGTATTTGTAAATCGTTTGGCAATACTCGAACCAGCTATAACTAAGTACTTTGTGTATACAAAGAAACCACTACCTCAAGTTGACTTCGGCTGTTCACGGGACGATAACCTTAACCCAAATCCTTATCATTACAGAGGAAAACAAGCTACATATAACTTAAAGCAATGTTCTTAACTCAAGAACAAATTCCATTCAATCGGTCATTCTTCTTATCAACAGATTAGGTAATTTTATTGACTAAGTCGAACCTGATAATCTCCGCCGCAGGGCATTTTGTTTGTTATGTAATTTGTTATTGAACTGATCTAAACCCAAAATACAAAATATGCATAACATTGTTGATAATGTCTAACGAATACTTGCTGGCATCAAGATGGCGACTAACGGCATCTGCACTGCGCTTTGTCAAACTGTTTACTACATATATCGTTAATAAACTCTTAAATCTTACAATATTTATAAACTGTACCAAGATATGTTAGTGTTTTGTACGTCTTAAATTCACGTGTTGTGTTGTGCGTGACTTTATGCCATTAATACTCATCTTTGTTGCAGACGTTGAGGCGTACAGTGCCTATTTGCGAACGAAGATGGGCGAGTCACTTACTGATGCTGTAGCGCAGGTCATTGCCAAAAGACCACGTGACCCCATCGACTTCCTGGCAAGCGCTCTTTACAAATCAAGGGTGAGTATACAGTACACGTGAAAATCACTGTTGTTGTAATTGTGAAAATTACATGCTTTAATTTTGTGAATGTGTGTTAGCTAGTAGGTATAAATCAAGGAGAACAGATTGTCAACATTCACTTGTTTGTACTGTTAACTACGGCCTCTTCACGAACTAATGTGAGGTTTGTGTCTAACATCAGGTACGTGTCTCCGTTTCATATTTGTGGCATTTCTAATAAAATAAAGAAGACGTCAAGATATCAGCAAAGAGTATACCGGACAGAGGATCTATCGGCGTCCGTTTATTCTACACTTTATCATTTTGTGGAACTTTGAAATATTTCTGAAAAAAAAATCAGTGACTGATGAAGTGCCTGTTTAATTTCTACAGAACATGAAGTCACCAAGTTTACAAGTTGCACTCACAAGACGTCTCCGAATGCCAAAGTGGACTCCGGGAGAAACCGGAAGTTCAATACCTCAACCGGGGAAACAAAGTGAACCGCGAAATGTGTCAAAACAAGTTCAGTCTTCCATACCACCAAGTTCTGTGCATTCAAAAGTAGGACCCAGTGAACCTAGCGGGGCCAGTGTAGGATATGTTCTTGGATCTGCGGAGGATGGTGACGAAGACTACGATATGGGATTTGGTGGTCCCACAATATATGTTCATGGGACAGTGTTGTCCACATTCACGCTCATTGGAGATATGTTTGATGACGATAAAATCAGTTGAGGAACAGATCGATTTAAACATTTATCCCTTGATCTTAACCTTAAAGCTGTGGCGTGTTTATAACCGCTTGTTTAAGTAACACTAAGTGAAAACTTGTGCAAACCGTAACGATGACTGACGGAAGAATATGTTGACTTCCGGATCCGGTTTCCATTTGAATAGGATCAACTAATGACAACGAAGTGGCATAATGATGCTGTAATTCATATGCAATGGGAAGCATGCATTCAGATTATGTAGTAAACTTTTTGCAACTGCAATGGTGCAGTCAAAAATGTTTTGTCTTTTTTGATAATCCCTCGTGAACGAGGTAGACATATTTACTCATACCATGTGATTAAATGGGCTAGAAGCTCACCGTTGTATCGTGTTAAAATGATATTTGCGATGTCTTCCGTGTGATTGTATTGTCTTAAATTTACATATGTGTGTACATACATAATAGTTTGAAAGGAAAGAGAGTACCATATCATTGGTTGATAAATTTTATAATAGTCATATCATGACACATATCAACCACTATACACATGTTCTGCTGTGACGTTTGATAGCCCACATATGTAACATCTCTTTACTATTATGCAAAATCTTAAATATTCTTGCAGTTATTTCAACGTTTTCTGGTATTTATCTTCGATTGTGTAAATCTAAGTAATGTTTATATCAATCAAAGATGATTTATTTCAATGTTTATTGATAGTTCATTATACTTGTATACATTGAATAATCTCTTCAGAATCAGCCGATCGGAAACCATCCGTCCATTTCACCACAAAGCAGGAAGTGTCTGTGTTATACCATAATGATGAATTTTCCCTTTAATATCTGCTACCTTAACCATGTCAGATCCATAGCGTAGAAGCAGAAAGGACACAATTCTTTAGAAAACTATTTTCTGGAAATAGGGTATTGGGATTTAAAATATTCTGTTTCACCATTTTCCCCCGTGTCCTAGCGATCAATATGAAATTTTGGCCAATCTATACCCTCCCGTCTGCTTCAGATCATCTTGGACCACAATTATTTCTATGTAATAATAATACATATAAATGTTTATAGGGTAGTGGGGATGGCAGTTCGTGTCGAGTCGCTTTAGTTTCAACAGATATAGAAACCGTTTTATACAATGAATACGAAAATACTGTAAGCATGATTGCTATTTATTTGAGAAAACACTGAAATTGTACCACTTAGTGATTGTCGAGCTTTAAGTTACATTTATCAGTCACACGGTTCATGTGCTACACGGTTGATCCATCTGTACTTCAAATATTTATAGATACCATCTAGGCCATTTCGGCCTCATAAATGAAAGCACCCACTGCTCGATTTAGTCATTGGAGTCGTCATTAGAGGGCTGCTGTGATAACTTGATTTAACATGTTGTGAATGAAGAAAGCGTGACATGATATTTATTAATGGAAAGATTAAAGATGAATGAATCATAGGATAAAATATATATACATGCAGAAAATATATAGAATATTCTTGTGTACAACCTATCATAAACAGCCAATGTAGGGTTAACCAAATAAAAAAACCCACGCAGACACTGAAAACATCATACCATGAATTTTAGAAATCATTTGTTAACAATATATTTGATAATTCTAGATCGCGATAAAAATGTGAACTTTAACATTACATGTTAATCAGAGAGAATGTGATATTTTTCTAATACAAATATTGATTTTATACTCGTAAACAAGTGTTGTTTTTAATTTACAAGAAGAAAACATCGCTGTGGCTAATATAAAAACAATGTTACATGATTATATTACTCTCTCGTCTCATTTTGTTCCGTTTGAGTTCGTAATATAGTCATTATCAATTCCTGTGAAACTCTGATATTTAGTTTAATCAGTATTTTGTGAAATACACAAACAAAAACACAAACAAATGATATCCTTTGCTATCGATTTTATTTATTGTTTATTTACGTGTCATTGAATTATTTATTATTATTATTGAATCATTATTTATTGAATTAAATATTGATCATCGTTAGAATGAAGGTAGACTGTTTTACCATGAAATGATATCTGAACGAAAATGCTTTTACCGTTAGCCCGATGAGAGATATCAAAGTGTGGCGTTCTGTCTTTATCCTTTATCTGTTTTTCTCTTGTCTGAGATCTGTCTCTCATTTTCAACTGATTTCCTGGTAGCCTTTTTATTGCCATGGTTGATCGATTCGGCAACTCCTGAAGGAGTGGTTGACTCGTTTTTTGTTGCTGTTTTTTTCATCATTGTTTTGATAGTGTCCGGAGATTTGGCATCGGGTGGATGTTTAACGATAACTTGATTTCCGAAAAGTTGGCACAACGATATTGACAAGAGTTTGCATGGCAGTAGCGAAAGTATAATGGCAGAGACATGAGTTTTTGAATCAAGACACGTAGTTCAGGGCTATGAGATATTTATAATATCTTACCGTTATCTGTGTTAATTATCGCGACACTTTCGATGTATTCAGTTCGAGGTTTACGATATTTGCCTGTTGAGGACGGTATTGCTACTATAACGAGTAATTTGAAGGCCTTGCATTTCAAAGAAGCCAATTGGCTGAGGGGAAGGAGGTTGGGTTGGAGTTTGTGTTAAGATTCCAATGTTTCGTATCATGTTCCCGTATAAATCGAATTGTGTAACTCTTCAGTGCTCTATATAATAAACAGCTTTCATCATTTTCTGATAGCATTTAATAAGAGGGGTCGGGTCATAGCTGGTCTAAGGCAAATACAGGGTGCCAGATATTTCAGTGTCCATATTTGCACTATAGAACATCTTGTTAGACGTCTAAGGGAAACTGGGCGGGTTGCTGACAGACCTAGGTATGGGTGTCCGCGCGTGTCGTCACTACGCCAGGACAGGTTTATTCGTCTTACGCATTTCTGCAAGTGGCACTTCACTGCCAATGAATCCGACCTTCATAATATATGTACTCAAAGCCGTTCTATCCATGAAAAAAAAAACTGTAAGGAAAAGATTGCGGGAAGTTGGTCTGCGGGCACGTCACCCATTTGTAGGTCTGTCCTTTACTGCTGCTCGTCGCCAGCGTCGTGTGGCTTGGGTGGTGGCACCTGTAGCGAGGATCTGACGTGACTTCATCACTAACAACAATATCCACCCACTGGACTGGCCGCCATACAGTTCCCACTTACCCCCATTGAGCACTTGTGGAACCAGCTGGATAGACAGGTTCGACAGCTCCAGCCTCCTCCTGTTACTCTGGCCCAACTGCAAGAAGCACTCTTGGAACAATGGGCCAACATCCCAATGAGGAGGATAAACTCACTCATGAACGCTATGTCTAGGAGAATCAGGGCTGTGGAGAGAGCGAATGGGGAACATACTCGGTATTGATTAGCCAGCTCCCACAATCAGTCCATTTCGATTTCAGATTACAGGATTATCTTTCAATTCCCTTCAATTACTCCTAAATCACTTACCATATACAAATCGTTGATTTTGCAGTTTGTTCTATATGGATTAATCCTCATTCTTACTTTAAAATACTGAACATTATACTCGATGTCTTGCCTAGAATCATCTTCAAAGTTTACCCTGTGTTTCTTCATCCCTTGAGTATATATATAAATATAAACCCTCATACATTTGCTTTTATATCCGTTGGTTGGGGACTTTCCGGGTGACCTTCACAACAAAGAGGTATCAGTAAATGTGATTAAGAGTGACACAGTGTAAAGCACCCTGGTTATTACTTTTTTTCTGATTTTTTTTACTTATTTTATCTCAAAGCAATATAACAAAATATTAGAACGAAGTCTAGATCACTCTGCTACCACTAGCCTGCTTTAACTTATTCACGTATTTCTGACGAACTCTGAGTCATACATTTAAACTTTGCTCTAAAACAATTCCAAAAGAACGTTGATAGGCTTAATATCATGATGTACAATAATAACTTCTCCCTTGTCATTTTCGGAACTCTTTTATGCAGAAGGTAAGAAAAATGTCCCGTATCGAACGAAGCGGTGAACCGGACCAGTGCTGCCCATAGGCTTATGACTATACTTTTAAGGTTGGCTTCAATCCGTATTGTTTACGGGTCAGCTGTTTTCTTAACCAAACAGGTTACTTTATTCTTTTAGAATCATAAATTTCTGCAACATGCATAAATGTCAGTGGTTAATAGATACACATTGTGTCGGTGGCTGTCGATTTCCATCGATCTTGTGCACTGTTTATATTTGTGTACACAGATACAGAGGGTCATAATATGTGTACAGATTCATATCCAGTGATTAGAGGTCTGCAATCAGCATTAATTAGGCCAATATTAAGTCATTAATGGGAAATTCGTCCCATTATTGTAAAATACAATGTACTACTCAGCGCAATAGTTTTATGTTGCTAATTAAATATATCGAAGATGCTGTATACGTAAAAAAAATGGACAGTGTATATGAAACTTTTAATGGCTCTTAGACTTTTTTCTCGTAATTACATCACTGCTATTCATGTCGCAAACTGGTCAAAGATATGTTATAACAATCCCAGTAGCGATATTCATAGTCCGCATCAGTATTCTCATTTATCTGTGTAGAGCAGTTTTTTTTTACCCCAAACTTAGTTTTGAATCATATCCACGTAATGGGCATTCCCTATACATATGTACCTTCCATGTTAAATCATACAATCACCTCAAAAGACATTCTCTGTAATTTGGTCGTATGTCATTGGTGAAATTCCAGTTTACATTCAGAAACAAGGTCTAGTGGATAAAAAATACCTTGAACTGGTGTGAATACAGTGATCATACCCACATTTTAGTTCTGTTGTCTTATGTTTGTCGGTCTCCATATATTAAAGAATACAGATTGATGATTAAATCTGTTCAAAGCAAGATAAATGAAATATCAATCTTTACATTGCATACAATGTAGATTTGAGTATGTTCAAGGCAAGCAATTTTCTTACATTGAATTTATTTCACTGTTGTATTTACTTTTAGATCTATCATGCAACAGAGATGATGCTATGCAGTGATTGAAAATTAATATCATATGGTGCTAGAAGTCCTTTCCATTTAAACCAAAATCCTAGGTAAAATGGGTTGTGCACCAAGTAAAGATGCAGTGGTCTTTGATCAGAATGGCCAGAGATCTACTAATCCTCCCGCAAGAAACAGTAACAACACACCAGCTAGAGAAGAAATCGAACAAAATGATGATAAGGTAGCTGTGGTAAAGAGCACTGATAATGTTGAGTCTATTCCAAACCATACGCTTAAGACAAATGATATCGAGGAACTCTGTATCCCTGATGATACAACTCACGAGTCGCAAGGTCAGCAGGAAGATAATTTAGTTGAAACAAATAGCCTGAATTCTGGAAATGGATCAAAAGGTGATCAGCAAATGATTGTGATCCCCGTTGGAAGTCAGGAGGAAGAAATAAATGAAGATAAAGGTCAATCTGAGGTCACGGATAAAGAAGACAGAGTTTCACCAAGTGGTGAAAAAGAAGAGAAATTTCTAGAGGATGAAACACCAACGGATGAAATAGATGACCAAAAGGAAGAGAATCAGGAAAATGCACACGTTGCTCAACAAGAGGAAGTTGATGTTGGAGATAACAAGGCACTAGCGATAGTTACAGACAAACCTAACACGTCTGAAGAGGTATCCCGATATTTGTATAAACTGCTGTTGGTTTATTTCTTATATGTACACCATGACATGTTATTGTACAAATTTTGTACCTGTTCAATGATTATTGCTTGAAATCTTTGTAGTACATGTATATTATATATTTGTGTGACGGTATTTGTGTGTAATGAGTTTGTGGAAGTATATATATATATATTAGTGAACCATGTAAGTACACATAGTGTTGTGTCAATGGAATTTAGAACATTCAATTGTATTATGACAATGAAAGGTTATTATTCAAAGGGCAAAATTATATGATATTGTTCATGATATATATATATTATGAAGCAAATCTAGATTGTCAAATTGTAATTATTTCAGAATTATAAACTGTATTTTATTTTGTTTTCATTGTGAAGGATCCCAGGCCAACTGATGAGGGAGAAGACTATGGTAAAACTGTTAAAGATGAGGAAAACATAGTGACAGAGCAAACCAGCCTCCCAAGTATCCCTCCCAATCCACGTCCAGGTATACTTTATAGTAATTCTCAATTTATCTGTTCATTTCTGCTGATAGTGATATTAATGATATCATTTTTAAAGAAGTTTTACAAACATTTGTTTTGTAGACTAATAACTGTAATTTTATCATACTAACACTATTGTTCTTCATGAAAATCATATTCACATTAAAAAAAACCAGATTGATTTATTTTTGTGAAGATATAGAACATCATAAACTTGCTCACAGTACAGTTTCATCCAATCAATATAATTAGACTGAATTTTTTCAGCTCACCAAGTGCGAATGCCCAACAGGGGAAATTTTGCAAGTTTTTTTTTTTTTTTTTTTTAAATTCTACTCCTCTGGTAGGAATGATTAAATTTTTCCCAAATCTGGTCTGAAGCAACTTTGGATAGAATTGCTTGGAATCAAAAGATAAACACATTTGTTATGTAAGAACTGACCCTTGCGTATGGCTCACCTCAAGGGACTTTATTTCTGGGTTATATATTTGAAATATTTGAGATCCCAACCTGGTTACCATATAAACTCTTACTGGGCATTAAGAGAGAGATGCAGTCATGATATAAGAGTCAAACCATCGGTCTTGTCTCTTCAAAGAGGTTAAATGATTGAGCTGTAATTTTGGAATATTTAAAACACCCAACCAATAGGCATGTATGCTTTTACTGGGCTTTACGATCCAGGTGAGCAATAAAGGCCCAATAGGCCTCTTATATTAAATGTTTGTTGACTTATAAACAGTATACATGTATGAGTATCCTACCCAAAATTTGGGGAAAATAAAGAAAATATTTGACAAAGCCTTTGCACATACACACATCCTCATGTGCACTCACCCATACAAAGACTCACCAAAAACCTTACTAAAGCAGTTGTTTATTCTTTTTGATAATTCCTAATTAGCATAGATCTTCTTAAAATCACACTAAAGTGTTTGCTTAAGACAATGTACATTAATGCTTTAACAAAGCAACAAAATTAAGCATTGAAATATGATTTGAAAAGGAGTTGTCATTGACAAATTATGTCACAAAAATGGTGATATGTTTGAAAGAAAGTGAGATGTTTCCCTGCTGAAACCAACAATTCTGAGTCAGGCTTGGCAATTACTTGTTCGAACTAATGTAAAAACTTCATCTGTGTTTGATTTGATTATTTTGCATCAGTTACTAATCCAGAAGTGTTCATGTCTTGATGAACATATACATTGACATGACATAGATATTGAGAAACTTTTCTATTTCTACAATTTGTATCAGATGGATGTATGTTAAGACCTAGACATTTGCTTGTTTTACAGCCAACTTCACAGCACTTTATGGTAGAAATTCCTCAAAATGGCCGATCAGGAATTATGTCAAGTTAGATTTTCCTGTAAATGCTAACTATGGTGGGGGTGCAGCACTTCTTCTTTGTTCAAATCAATATGGAGGCAAAGGTCCAGAAACTACAGCAGAAATCTTTCTGCTACGATCAGGGTTTGATTGTAATCATTTTGGAAATTCCAGTATTATGACTGGAAATTCTGGTCATTTTGGTTGTCAAAATTATTTCATGACCAATGAAGAAGGATTTCTATTGGGTAACTTGATGTTTGGTACCAACACTGTGATGGTCCTGTCCAATGATTGTCAGTATGGTGATTTAAGTAATGGTGTCCAGATCAGTTCGCCAGCTGGCGAGAATGGCCGCTACAGACTCTTCATAAATAGTAACAGCACTGTGTGCATGTTGGTGCTGTGCAGCAGTTCAGAGGGCAACGCAACCTACATGGTGAGGACAGGCTTTAAAGAAAACTTTGTGCAGGCTAAGTTGATTCATGGAGATGATAAGTGGAAGTTTGACACCAACACCAATGGAGAAGTTGATGCTGAAGGACCATCAGGTTCATATTTCTCTTTTTACGTTAATAAGCCAGAATCAGTTATATCTGACAACACCTTAAAGAAGTCCAGAGTTCTCTTCACTCAAGCTACAGATGGCCAAGAACCAACTCTGGTCCTAGACAACCAGGAACCAGGCGTCTTAATGGTTCTGTGTTCCAACAGTATTGGAACAGAGAATAAGACAGCAGCAGCTGTTTATATGGTTACCATCTCTTCTAGTTCAGAAATTTCTACCAAACTTGTCAAAAGTAGTGCTGCTACAGACTACGCCAATGCTGATCTCTGGGCGTTTGAGTCAGTAGCTGGAAAATGTATCAGTGTAAAAGGTCCCTCTGGCCCGTGTAGATATGCCACAATTTCAAACCTGGAAGAGAAAGAGAAAACACCTATGAATCAAACCATATGCTTGAGCTCAGGTGAACCTTCCACTGTTCGCGGACAGGTGGATATCACAGAAAAAATGGTGAAGGGAATCTTGGACCGTCCATCGCAAGTAATGATAATGGTCAATCACGAAATCATAGCATCATTCAAGCCAGGACAGTTACGACAAGTCAGAGAAGGTTATGCCTTTTGTAGGGAATGGAAAGAAGGGGAGATAACCATTGGCACTTCACTCGTAAGGGTCTTTGCATCGAGAAAGCATGTCACAAGTAAGTTTTATAGGTGCATTTAAGTCTTTTATGTATTATGAATTTAGTGTAATTAAACTGAGTCCCAGAAGGAGTCAAGTAAATTAAGCAGAGATGTAACAATATATCATATTTTTTTTCTAGATAATTCAATTAAAAAACTTGTTAATTCTGTAAAAATTATCACATTTTTTAACTATTTTGATATGATCTGTCCAATTTCTTTTATGTTTCTCCATTGTTACACTCTCTTACAAGTAGATTATTTATTTGTAGGTGGGAAGAATGTAAAGATAGAACTGAATGCATCACCTGTGAGATTAATCACCCAGAAGGATGGAGTGGTGTGTGCTATCAACTGTGGTGGTTATGACTACACCAGTCTGAGTGATATTACATATGCCAGTGAACACAAGCGGTTCTGTCAGTACGACACCAAAGGCACCAATGGTTAGTAAACAATGCAGGTGATTTTTACTTTTAAACTAAAAGATGCATTACTTGAAAGAAATATTCTTGAATTTAATGCATCTCTTCAGCAGTAAGCTACATGCCTGGTGCTGAATATAAAGCCAATACATACACCCAAACCAATCAGAGTTTCAGTAGGATGATGAGCAAATGTAATGTATATCATTGTCTGTGATATGGTGTGTACAGTATATTTTTTGAGAGATTTATAACCACTACAACAAATTTAATGGCATTAGAAGCATTACAATAGATTTAATGGCATTAGAACCATTACAATAGATTTAATGGTGTTAAAACCATTACAATAGATTTAATGGCATTAGAACCATTACAATAGATTTAATGGTGTTAGAAGCATTACAATAGATTTAATGGCATTAAAACCATTACAATAGATTTAATGGGTGATTTAATGGCAAAACCATTACAATAGATTTAATGGTGTTAGAACCATTACAATAGATTTAATGGCATTAGAACCATTACAATAGATTTAATGGCGTTAGAACCATTACAATAGATTTAATGGCATTAGAACCATTACAATAGATTTAATGGCGTTAGAACCATTACAATAGATTTAATGGCGTTAGAACCATTTATTTCTGATTGTTATCAATGCATGAATATATGTTACTCAAATAATGTGTTGTATAATATGCTTAAAAATAGTAATAAAAAGTAGTACACATAGTATAAACATATATATATATATATATACAATGCATGGTATTCCTAACTCTGTGGGACCATAGGGAAACTTCAAGATAAAAGAGTATTTGATTTAAATGAGTTCGAATGTTTTGTGTAAAGTAAGGCAGGGACCAATGAAATGCTTTGAATTAAATGAGGTCTTCAAGCTAAGCAAATTCAAGATAACAAGGTTCGACTGTTCATACATATAGAAAGTTAATGTAAATGTGAAATTGTTTGAGGAGGGAGATTTATATCACAGCTAGTAACAAGGATATTTGGTTTCATTATGTAGGTAGTAGGTACTCCACCTATGGTGAGGTGAAAGTTCATACTGGAATTCCGTCACTGCTGATGGCTACTCATGATGGAGCGTTGTATGCTACCCTTCGTCATTTCTCCACGGAGGCCATTGATGAGCAGAAGGTCCACTATGATGTAAGTGCACATGTTTAAATATAAAAAATGAAAAGAAAAATATGTACATGATATATATTTCTATCAATTGTAAACAATTATGAAAAAACGTGCTTTCTTGTAAATGGGATGAATATGTGTAAATTTCATTGTGAAATGGCTAATCACATGACTTTTAGATTTGTTGGGCTGGAATTTTACAATACAATAATTGTGATATATTCATCATAATGTAGGTTTTGTTTTAACAGGTGACTGTGCCAAATGGATCCTACATACTACGACTACACTTCATACACAGGATTTCTCCATCTGTTCAGTTCATTTGCAATGGGAACAATATTGCCCAATACGTATGTATTCCCAAAAACAGATAAAAAAAATAACAGTTCAGCTAACAAAATGAGTCATTCATCTAAGACCAAGCCAACAACAATAAGCTAGATTTAAATTCCCTTTTCACCTTATGGCTGTAGAAATGGAGTATAGAACAGAGTGAAGGACAAAGTGTTTGTGATTAATATTATACATTATATTCCTATATAGATTTACCTCATTCTGATCATTCCATCCTGTTCATCATTGCCTGTCTTTCCAATTTTGTCTTGATCTGATTCAGGGTCGTACATCTTTAGCAACTCAGTTTTATAGAATTCTAACTGGATGTTGGTGTTCTGTAATCAAGTATGTTTGAAGGAGTTGTAGTGTTTCAGAGTCCCCTATAGTGTTTTGGGCATTGATTTTGACACAACTTGATACAAAATCATTATTTATTAATCATGAAATCATACAAAAAAAATTTTTGATTAAAGATTGTGAAAGCCTCTAATTCCGAGAAAGACTTCCTGAAGGAGCACAGCGGATACACAACTTACTTAGCTGATGTTCCACTGGACGTCACTAACAATACTCTCACTATCAGATCCAGCAAACAGGCAATATGTGCATTTGCTCTCCTTGATAAAGAAAAATTCAAGGAAAAGAAACCGACTCCAGAACAGGCCAAGGAAGAACAGACACAGAAACAGACACTCATGGATACAATTAATCCTCTGGTTCGCTCACTTTCCAGAAAGCAGCTCAAAATTGTCGGCTGGTCTGCAAATCTGTTGAAAAATGGAAGTGGGGAGGTACGAGTGTTTTGTTGTTGGTTTACACAGTATAAGATATGATTCAACCATATATGCTTTCAATATGGTAAAATATTATCATTAATTCATATATTTTGAAAATTTTTCCTCATTTTTTAATGATTAATGAATGTCTTTGTTCTTTTAGTAATAAGTAAATAATGGATGCAGGCAAAACAGATGCCTCTATATCCATATCTAAAATTATATGATGATCGGGAGATGTTTCCTATAAAAATTCTAAGATTCTCAGTTATTACATATATATAGCCAATTAAATGCTAATAGCATAAACGTTTCACTATTTTCAAGTTGAAATGACATTAACAGTTTCCTCTTTATATGTTGTTTCTGGGAAGGCACACAATTTTTCTACTCCAAGGCGGTCCACGGACACAGTATACATAATCCTCCGTTTCATTCAATTTTCAATCAATCAATTTGATTTGTCTCTCTTTGAGCTCATTTTCACTCAGACATGTGTGATGACAGTTTACATATTACAACAGCAGTACTTCCAGTGTACAATGCTACACTGGTATATGCAGCTTCATACAGTACTGGTAGTGTAGACAATACACCTAAAAACTTCATCAGTAAAGAATTAACACATTAGAACATCTATATCACAGGAAGGCGACCTGTCCCACTGGAACACCTCTGGAAACTGGAAAACTTGTGAAGGAGGCTATGGAACAGAAAAAGCTTTCCAGACGTCTCACATGGACTGTCGAAAGTATCAGGAAGTGGACCTGCTGGAACATTTCCCAGCAGAATACCTGGACACAGCTCCGGACATCCAGGTATAAACTTATGTATGACAGTGAAAACAATAAAACTACATATACCATCAAAAATACTTAATCTTTATAAATAGAAAAGTCATATTCAGTAAATCCATTTTGGTCATTTTCATTGGATAAAACTGTAATTATATGAAGAACTTTGTTTTGAGAGATGACTATGAAAGGGTTATGTATGAATACAATTTTTTTTTCAATTTAAAATTGATATTTTTTGTTAAAATATCAGTAATTATAAGTGTGCAGTTATTAACTGCTTTAAATTAAATTTTTGTTGTGATTTATTTTGAAGGTATCAGAATGGTATCGTGAGGGAGCGTGTGGCGGTGGTTTCTACAACTATGAGGCTAAGTTGCTGGATGCTGATGGAAATGTAAGCTTTTGGTGTTCATTTCACTATAATTGCAACTGATGTAATAAAGGTTTTGCAAGGATGATGCAACTTCTTTCGAAGTATTTCTAACTCCATGCAATAAGATTTGAGTTTTCAACATTTAAAACCAACACCAGAATAACTTATTTCTTTTTATTTGAAACCTTACTTTAAATTGGAGTAGAAAATAGTGGTCGGGTGGCGCAGTGGTAACACACTTGCCTTTCACCTAGCCGACCGGGGTTCGATTCCCGGAACAGACGTGAATAGGTAAGGGGTCACCTGCCCGACTGTTGTAAAATAAATAAAGTTTATATATAAAATAGTGTATAGAGTATATGAAAAGTTCCACTCTGCTGGTCTATTAGTTTTCATTGTGAGGATTTTAAATAGTTAAACTAATAACAATATGATATGATGGATTGGTTTTTAGGCCATCACTTTACATCCAGTGTTACAAGGATAAAAAAGTGTTAGCATAAGTTGACATAACTTGTTTCGCAATTGTTGTAAAATAAATAAAGATTATATATAAAATAGTGTATAGAGTATATGAAAAGTTCCACTCTGCTGGTCTATTAGTTTTTATTGTGAGGATTTTAAATAGTTATACTAATAACAATATGATATGATGCATTGGTTTTTAGGCCATCAAAACTTTCAGCACCGGTCAAATAGGTACCATCTACAAGGATAAAAAATGGATGAACGCAACGACGATATTCAAAGATTATGGACCTGGAGTGCGTTTTGTTGGCATATCATCATTTGGTATGTGTTGTGTGTAATTCCATAATATCCTTTGTTTAACTGACAATGATTCAGTGTATGGTAATACGCCTATTAACATCTCTCAGAGATTCATATAGAATGATCCAGTTATACCTCAGATCTTGTACAAGCTCCATGATGCACTATCTATTTTTGTATTGTAGCTGCCCTTTGTGTTGTTGTTTGCTCTTTGAATAATTGCTTTCTGAAATATCTGTCTTTTCATGTGTCTACCAGTAGGGGCGTGTCTTACAGTGTTGATTGACAGTGTATATAGCATTTCTCTTCGTAATTTGGTATAATCACAATTGATGATAATAGACATTAATGTTTACACAAAAGTTTAGATTGTGTTAAGTTGATATTCTTGTTTTTTTTTCTTTTTTTTTTGTAGTGTTTGTAATTTTAATTCATAGTACAACATGGCTCAATCACAATAGTTTAGATTATATACTTATATACAATAAATTTACATATTTTTTAAAAAAAAATTCCAGGTAAGGATGATAAGTACTGGGCTGGTCACTATGGGCCTCTGATTTCCACCTCTGTTGTGAGGGTGAAGAGAGAAACACATCCTGCAGCTGATGATAGCTACAAAGACATTGAGGTATGTTCTCATGATCACAGACTTACATATACACATACATATCAATATGTCAACAAGGTCACAAACATACAGGTATGTCACAAGGTCACAGACATACAGGTATGTCACAAGGTCACAGACATACAGGTATGTCACAAGGTCACAGACATACAGGTATGTCACAAGGTCATAGACATACAGGTATGTCACAAGGTCAAAAACATACAGGTATGTCACAAGGTCATATACATACTGAAATGTCCACAAGGTCACACACACATGCTGAAATGCCCACAAGGTCATAGACATACAGGTATGTCACAAGATCATATACCTAAGGAAATGCACATAAGGTCATATACGTACTGAAATGTCCACAAGGTCGCAGACATACAGATATGTCACAAGGTCACACATGTACCAATATGTCCACAAGGTCACATGTCCACAAGGTCACAGACATACAGGCTAGTATGTATGCAAGGTCACAGACATACAGGCCAGTATGTATGCATGGTCACAGACATACAGGCCAGTATATATGCAAGGTCACAGACATACAGGCTAGTATGTATGCAAGGTCACAGACATACAGGCCAGTATGTATGCATGGTCACAGACTTACAGGCCAGTATATATGCACAGTCACAGACATACAGGCCAGTATGTATGCATGGTCACAGATATACAGGCCAGTATGTATGCATGGTCACAGACTTACAGGCCAGTATATATGCACGGTCACAGACATACAGGCCAGTATGTATGCATGGTCACAGATATACAGGCCAGTATGTATGCAAGGTCACAGACATACAGGCCAGTATGTATGCAAGGTCACAGACATACAGGCTAGTATGTATGCAAGGTCCCAGACATACAGGCTAGTATGTATGCAAGGTCACAGACATACAGGCCAGTATGTATGCAAGGTCACAGGCATACAGGCCAGTATGTATGCACGCTCACAGGCATACAGGCCAGTATGTATGCACGCTCACAGGCATACAGGTATTAGTGCAAAGTTATAGACATACAGGTACATACGTGTATGCAAGTACACATTTATACAGGTATGCACACATTGTCAAGGTATGTGACATACAAGTATGCTACTTAAAATTGCAGCTTGTGATGTGAAAATAAAAAGAAGAAATTGCTGAGAAAGACAATTAGACTACAGAATCTATACTGACTAAGTTATATGACATCATGTAAATATTGTTGAATCTGTCATTATTCCATTGAGAATTATTCAGATTCTTTAATTCATAGTCAGTTGGTTTGGCTGTCGACAAATGAAAACTGAAAAATATAACTGAAGGGAATGCAAGTTATAATCATGAAATTCCCGTACAACTGTAAAAAATTAAGAAAGTTCCATTGCTGTTTTAATTCTATTGTGTAAGTGAACCTCACTCTCATTCTTACAGGTAAACCCAGATGCGGCAGCATTTATCGCCAACCGAGATAAACTTGTGATGAAGATGTTTGCCGATAATAAAGATTTGATTATGGAATTGGTGGAGGACAAAGGTAAATTTACTACAATTTGTGTGATTATATATATCTCTTACCAGTATGTTTAAAACAAACAAACAAACAAACAAACAAACAAACAAACAACACATTCTCTATTGGGTGCAATATATTTTGCCTTGTTTTTTATTTAACAAATATACATGTTGGGAAAAATAAAAAGAGGTGGAGGAGTCCAACGTCCTGTGAGTTGTACTAGATGGTAAATGTATCGGTAAAGGAATCCTAGGTGGATCCAGAGGATTCTTGCAGAGCTCCATAGACGATAGGTACTAACCACTAACTAAAGGATGGAGCATCAGCACCAAGGATTCCGTGATCAGTAGTTTTATTTGGTTGACATGTTGCCACTTGCTAGGCTAGCCGTCATCAGATACATGTTGATGCGTCAATGCATTGTTAGTTTAAATGTTTGTGGTGTATTTTCTGCTATCTCTTGCTCTCATTTCATCATGTCTTTTACAATCAAACATTATGTCAAGTTGTGAAGGATACAAAACTGCTTTGGAGCCAAAAATGTGAAGTAGGGATTATTGATATTTAAAAGAGAACTCTTCAAGCATGATCTAGCGAAGAAATTCGGATGAAAACTTAGTATAAGGCTTCAAACTTAGTCAACTTAATTCAATGTGCTAATGTTCCCCTTCCCGCACTCCTTCACTACCACATCTTATAAATCTGGGGACAGAAAGGTGAACCCAAAAGAGAAATAGATTTAATTCTTTAAAAGAAAACTTTTTTTAAGTATGATTGAAATGATATTGATGTAGCCAAGTATGTATCATGTGATCAGGGCATCAATGAAATGAATGTTTATAACAACTCTGAAGTGTGCATGGGTTAATAACTTTACACTCCTACAAAGATTTATAAACTAGAGTGTAGCGATCATTCTATATTGATGATATGTTATCAGATTATTACAAAAAAATTTCAGTTAAAACTTAAAATAGCTTTAATGAGTTTCTATTGTGATTTACGAAATGAGCCCAAGAAATTGTGATTTCAGCATCCTTTTATGAGGTAAAGAGAAAAAATCTTGACAATTTCCGTATGAAATAAAAAAAATTACTTATCAAATGGAATGTCAGATTCCCCTCTAATTATCACATATAATCAATTATTGTTGATAATTCACATTTCCACATCAGAACTTGATGTCATTTTACTTCTGTATCTTTGGTTTTCATTTTTTTCAGTCCATCTGCTTACTGTACAAGCAGAAATTTTTGTTGGGCTCAAATTTTTGTGGATATTTTCACGACAAATATCTTGCTCACAAAATCCACTATTACCATAATCCATGTCATTTTTAAGTTTTTATTTATTAATATTAACACAAATTAAAATGAAAATCAAACCTTTCAGAAAATAAATGATTTTGTAGAAAACATATGAAAGACTTTGAGATGTGAATCTGACCTTTGTTTGACCTTTGCCAGTGTTGAAGGAACTTGATACCAGCAGCCAGAAATATGTACCCAATAAAGCGAGAAAACTGAGGAAACACAGGAAGAGAGAAATCCGTGTTTTTGTTTCAAGTACTTTCAAGGATTTCAGTGAAGAAAGAGAGCAGCTTATCAAAAAGACATTCAGAGAGGTAAAATACAGTGTACCATGTGATTGGACAGCAAACCAATTTTAGATACAGCAATCGAGAAATATCATACATTGTCAAATGAAATATATTTTTTATAATTTTGACAGAAACATCACTGCAAATCAAAATTATTAATTCAGGATGGGATGGTGGGAGCTAGGAGGAATTTAGATACTAAACATATAAGGGATTAATAAATATCACAAGGTATTTTTTAATATCTTTCATTTACCCTGGTTTCATCTTGATTTTTTATTTATTCATAAGGAGGAACAATTTAGGAAATCAATTGTACAAAATATCAAATGTAATAAAAAAAATTAACAAGATATGTTAAGTACATACTTTATCCTCCACTGTGTGAGCACTTAAGTCAGAGGGGGAAAAAAGAAAAGTTTATCTAATTTCAATTTGGGAATGAATTCCAACTAGAAGCAATTAAATTCTTCTGTGATCTGTATACAGTGAAAATATGGATTTTTAAATTATTTCTTCCTGTAGATCAACAAAATGTGCTCGGAAAGGGGTGTTTTCTTCACCTATGTTGACCTGCGTTGGGGAATTAGTGAAGAACAGTCAGAAACTGGTCAGACAATCGCCATCTGTCTTCAGGAGGTAAGTTTAGTCAAAATACTAGTCAGAACAGCACCATCTGTCTTCAGGAGGTGAGTTTAGTCAAAATACTAGTCAGACCAGCACCATCTGTCTTCATTAGGTAAGTTTAGTCAAAATACTAGTCAGACCAGCACCATCTGTCTTCATTAGGTAAGTTTAGTCAAAATACTAGTCAGACCAGCACCATCTGTCTTCATTAGGTAAGTTTAGTCAAAATACTAGTCAGACCAGCACCATCTGTCTTCATTAGGTAAGTTTAGTCAAAATACTAGTCAGACCAGCACCATCTGTCTTCATTAGGTAAGTTTAGTCAAAATACTAGTCAGACCAGCACCATCTGTCTTCATTGGGTAAGTTTAGTCAAAATACTAGTCAGACCAGCACCATCTGTCTTCAGGAGGTAAGTTTAGTCAGGGACTAGTCAGACCAGCACCATCTGTAATCAGAAGGTAAGTTTAGTCAGGAACTAGTCACCTTCTGTGTTCAGGAGGTAGGTGTTTTGGGAGATGCTATCATATACAGGACCCTTGTCAGGTTCTGCTGGTCCTTCAATGTGTATGTTGTTATGGCTATTATCCATTTAGTTCAAATTTCATTGATTTTCCCAATTATGATCATATTTGAATGAAACTTAGAGAGCAGAGACAAATACATATTATTAGAAAGATGTAGAGCACAATATGAGTTTGACGATCGATAGAATTGACACTGTTAGGAGATCTGATGCTTATGTTCTGAACTTTGTGCTCAGTTGTTCCAAAGGATAATACATCTATCACATCTATCAAAGGATTTTACAGTAAACATGTATATCAAATCAACATGTTCTAATCTGATTGGTTAATTAATTTTCATGGATCAGTTTTCTTGTTACATTTCCCTGAATATGATGACAAAGAAATACTGGGGAGTTTTATGTAAATCACAATATATATCTATTATATAATTGGCCAGTTGTTAAGGTTATTAGATCCTATAATATTTTTTTTTCAATTCAAATTTTATTCCGATGGCCTAACAGCATCTATTGTTGAAAAACCAGGTTGGAATCCAAATTGCACATCAAAAATTATCTCGTGTATGCTATCCCACTTAAGAAGCCTTTGATTTAATACCCCAGTTAATAATTTGCCCAAACAGCTCAATAAAAAAATACCTCTGTAGTTGTTGGGGTCATCAATATCTCCCTAGTATGTCATTAGTGTAATATCCTCTGGACAGTGTATCATTGATTCTGCTTACTGCTACTTTGATTTTTGTCCTCCACATTTTTACTTTTAACCCCATAAAAAACTTTACTTTTCTCAGTTCTTGGATAAAAAAATATCTTGAATTCATTTTCATATAATATAAGATTTTTAAAAAGTTTAATTTTCAAGACTTACAAAAGTAAAAACTTCAATAGTTAAGACTCACTTCAGAAAATCTCATATGAAATTAAAAAAATATCTAAGTTCCTTTATATCTATATATCTATTGGCCTTGTCGATTCTTTTATGTTTACACACACAACCACCCACACACAAACACACACACACCACCACCATCACTACACACACACAACACACACACCACCACCACCAAACATACACCACCACACACACGCACCACCACCAAACACACCACCACACAACCACACACTCACACCCTCATGAAAACACATACCTGCACATACATGCACACAGTTGGCCATTTGATGAAGAAATATTTCAATTATTTTAAATTTATTGTTGATGGGTACTGATGCTGACAGAAACATCCCTATCTTTGTGATCTTCTCATAAACTTGTTAGTTATTAGTATCCTTCTCCGAAGTATATACAACTATCTTCAAAAGACTCATAAAACAGAAATTAAGTTGTCGTCAGTGTTTTGATATAACGAAAAAAAAAATGTATAAGCATTTAATCTTATTTACAATCCCTAAAATTTTTAAGTTACTGCTGTAATGTTAACTGTATATAATACATACAATCTAATATGATATATTATTTACAAAATATATAAAAAAAACACCATGCTTATACATTGTATATCATAGTTACTTATTCTGTCAAAAACTCTTTTAATATTTTATATAGATTGACCGATGTCGGCCATATTTCATCTGTATGCTGGGTCAGAGATTTGGCTGGTCCAAACCTGAGGACAAGGAGGATGATGCTCTTATGAAGAGTTTTGACTACGCTATCGAGAATCACCCGAATCTTGCTTGGATAGATGACTACCGGAACAACACCAGTGTTACCCAGGTTTGTTACTCATTTGTCAAAGACATACATACATTTACAATAAGCAGTTGTGTACAATTGTTGTTAATTTGTATTTGAAATCAAAATCAAATTTTTGAATATAAATTTGTTTTTTCAGCTGGAAGTACTTCATGGTGTGTTGAATGACATTCAAGGAAGGAAAAATCGAAGTTTTTTTTACCTTCGAGACCCTCCAATAAAATCTGAGATGAGTGAGAAAGAATTTGTGGTAAGTTAAACAGAGAGTATTTATATACCCCCAACTCCTCCCTCCCCCACCCAGATCCCCAGACTTATTCTAGCCCTATCTCTATATCTCTGTTCCTTGAAAAAAAAAAAATGTAAATCACGAAAAAATTTTCAGTTATCTTTAGTGATAAAGAAGGCAGAAATTATCAAATTCAATCTGTATTTATTGCTGTCATTGGCTTATTCTGAATAAGGTTTATAATATTTTATGATTCTCACTAGGCAAGACATCAGGAACTACAAGTGTTTATATATACATGTCTGTGGCTAGTAAAAAAACAGTTGAAAACTGGAAATCAAAGATTTTCTGGTCTCCAAGTGCCAAAAATTGATCTCATTGATTTTTTTCTCTTTGTTTGAAATAGAAAAGATCTGCTGAATCTGCATGGCATTCAGACCGCCAATCCCAGCTAAGGACAAAAGTAGGAACCAATACTGAGCTCAACACTCGGAAGTTTGCCAGTCCGGAGGAAGTCTGTGTAATGATCAAGGAGGTATATATATATATATATATATAGGTAGTCCTCACAGTGATATGTTATTCAGCCATTTAAAATTTACGCCCACATCCTGACCCAAATTTATGATCAGTCTGACTGGGAATTGGGCAGAGCTTCTAAGTTATTTATATGTAAGAACTGGCTAAGAGCAAATAAGGGGCAAATTTGAACAAAACATTTCCGATTTGGATTTAGTTAAATATTCCTTAAATTATGATATTTCACATCAACTTAAACTCAAAAAATTTTAGAATGTTAAGATTTTTAGATATATTTGTTTTTATACATCTTCAGGTGATAGGATTATGAATTTGGTCTTTTTTTACACAAAAGCAACAAAAACCACGATCTACTCTCCAGTAGATATAAACAAGTATTCCTGAAATGTTTTATACAAATATGTGTAGAAAGATACTCTAGGCTATTTGTGATGCTAGTGGTGTTTTTCTTGATAGTTTTTATGAAGGTTTTAGTAATTGACCTCTGACTTGAAGTTAAGGAAGATGGGTTAAATGTAGGACTTAATCAAATTTCTCTAAAATTCAATAGATGTCAGAGTGCTTATAACCAGATGTAAGCTTGATTTTGCTGAATGTTAATATATAGACTGTTAGAGCTCTACAATGTAAATACACTTAAATTCACCTTCATTTAGTTCAATAATTTTTTTTGCAAATTTATCATCAATCACTTTTTGGTAAATTAGCACATGATGAATTTTTGATTTCACAATTAATATCTAATTAACAGTATACGCTTGGTCAGAAACTAGAATTAGTGCAGCCATATTTTAGTGTTACACTTTACACTTGGTCAGAAACTAGAATTAGTGCAGCCATATTTTAGTGTAACACTTTACACTTGGTCAAAAACTAGAATTAGTGCAGCCATATTTTAGTGTAACAGTATACACTTGGTCAGAAACTAGAATTAGTGCAGCCATATTTTAGTGTAACAGTATACACTTGGTCAGAAACTAGAATTAGTGCAGTCATATTTTAGTGTAACAGTATACACTTGGTCAGAAACTAGAATTAGTGCAGCCATATTTTAGTGTAACAGTTTACACTTGGTCAGAAACTAGAATTAGTGCAGCCATATTTTAGTGTAACAGTATACACTTGGTCAGAAACTAGAATTAGTGCAGCCATATTTTAGTGTAACAGTATACTCTTGGTCAGAAACTAGAATTAGTGCAGCCATATTTTAGTGTAACAGTATACACTTGGTCAGAAACTAGAATTAGTGCAGCCATATTTTAGTGTTACAGTATACACTTGGTCAGAAACTAGAATTAGTGCAGCCATATTTTAGTGTAACAGTATACTCTTGGTCAGAAACTAGAATTAGTGCAGCCATATTTTAGTGTAACAGTATACACTTGGTCAGAAACTAGAATTAGTGCAGCCATATTTTAGTGTAACAGTAAACACGTAGTCAGAAACTAGAATTAGTGCAGTCATATTATAGTGTAACAGTATACACGTAGTCAGAAACTAGAATTAGTCCAGCCATATTTTAGTGTAACAGTTTACACTTGGTCAGAAACTAGAATTAGTGCAGTCATATTTTAGTGTAACAGTATACACTTGGTCAGAAACTAGAATTAGTGCAGCCATATTTTAGTGTAACAGTATACACTTGGTCAGAAACTAGAATTAGTGCAGTCATATTTTAGTGTAACAGTATACACTTGGTCAGAAGCTAGAATTAGTGCAGCCATATTTTAGTGTAGAAAGCCTTGAAGTCAAATTGTTGCTAGAATGTGTATGTTAAATTTGTTGTGTATAAGAAGTTTTAAAGAAGAACAACCAGAAGGATTGTACATTTTTTTTTATATTTTCTCCATACTGATCACTAGGACCTGGAGTTTTGTGTCAATGAAGACTTTCCAATTGGTACGGAACTGACACCATTGGAGCGTGAACAGGAAGCTCACCAAGCCTTCGGTGATGCACGAACACAGGTGTACATAGGCAGAGAACAGTACTTTGTAGACATTGACAAAGTCATGCAGGAAGAACGCGACCAGCCATTTGTCTTACTTGGTGAATCAGGTACTGGAAACGGCAAAATTTTTTAAATAATAGGGTCTCACTTTTGTGACATTCTGGAAATTCCAGAATCTGTCTATATTTATTTTTCAGTTTAGTTTCTGGCAATATTCTAAGAATATTTGTTAGATAAAAATTTCACCTAGGGAATGACCTTCATAGTTATAATATTAATAGTTCAAATGAAATCTAAGGTCAAAGTAAAGCGTCAAGCACCATGAATATTGTCTTGAAGTCAGACACACAGACAGATCCTTCTGCTCGACCCATATTTTGACAAGTCACTAATATTTACTTTACACTTTTTTATTGTGGATTTTTCAGGATCTGGCAAATCAGCACTTGTAGCTAACTGGGTGAAGCGTGTACGTGAGAAAGAAAAGGATAGTTTTGTCTTTGTTCATTTTATCGGCAGTTCTGCTGAGAGTGCATCCTACCTGAAACTATTGCGCAGGTAAAGAAAACAACCACACCCTTTTCCTAAAAAGTCGTGAATATGATTCAGAGTGGGTTTTACCATTCTCCAGCTTGACAAATGTTTTAGTATTATATACTGTATTTGTCCTGCAGTATACATGCCTGATGATAAGCCCACCATTAGATGGTGAAATAGGTTATTTGCAGGAATTGAAGTCAGAATCAACGTGATGGCCGCATGAGGTTATTACAGAATAAATATGATCCTTGCATCTAAGGTTTGAGAGATATATCTGCTAGGATTTACTACAATGAAGAACCATTGTGTCCCTGTTACTTTTCCTGTCTTCTAAATTGTATCTCATCTAGCTGTCAGAACCTAGTTTATAGAATAGAAGTTCTTTAACCACAACCGATACAAGATTGGAGTGTGATGTGTGACTAAACATGGGTCACCTTCATCTGATAAATGACCGGTGTGAATCGTACTTACCATTGACATATTGAGTGTACAAGATAATAAGGAATTGACCATTTTGTGACTGTACTATAACTATTCAGCTATATCAAAGATATGAAGAAAACCTGATGATGATAATGTGTTCATTGTTGAAGCATTAATCTAACATGTGACTTCAACATCCATATAAAATTTCCCACATCTTTAACAGATCTTTGTTAATGATCTCTAATTAATTTAGAGAGCAATTTATTTAATAATCATTAAATCTGGGAGAAAGAAAATAAAATTACAGAAAATCTATAATTTCCCTTAGAAATGTTAATTGAATTTCATAATTGTTTAAAAGTCTAACTTTGCATTTTTTTAATTTATCTAAAAGGTAGAATTTGTAGCTTTTCTGATTTGTACTGAAATGGAATATATTGCATAGTTTAGCTACAGGTAGGTAGGTTATGTTAATTTATAATGATTATAAATCTGTACTAAATTCAGCTGCTGATTTTCTGCAGAAAATTCTTGAATTATTTTACGTACTGTTTTGTAGGCTGTACGAGGAGCTCAAAGCCTTTTTTGACATTGATCTGAACGTGCCGACCTCTGACACAAACTTGGTCCTTGACCTTGGTCGTTGGTTCCGGTTGGCTGCATCACGAGGACGATGTGTGATCGTGTTTGATGCCTTGAATCAGCTTAATGATGGTTTAGGGGAAGATGGTAGGTCATGGTGCAAGGGTAAAACCCGTGAACCCTTGGATTCTCATATTATCATGAAAGAATCGATAATGGTGGGACTTTCTATTTCAAGTTGTCTTTATTTGAGAATATTTATGTGTGTTGAAACTTAGATAAGTCAACAACAACAAAAAAAGAGACACATATTACAGTTTTCTTTGTGAACCTATATTTTAATCCTGATAATGTGTTTTACATTGAAATTATAGACAACCCTGTAGTGTTATTCCACCAAATAATTGCAAATATGCATTTTTTCACTTTTTCCCCAAATTTCATTGTTAATGGTATACAAATGAAAAACAGGTATGCAGTGAAAAGTGAAATCTTTAGCGTCAATGATTTCCTGATTAAGGAAGTTTATATCAACAATGTCACTCTTTAATAATGAAAATTAAGACATTTATGATATAAGCAATTTTAAGTCCAAACTCCAAGTGGAGCATCCTGACCTCCATTTATACTGGTAGATTATTCTGACTATCACTTATCCTGGTAGAGTACCCTCCCAACGTTTGTTCTAGTAGAACAACTGGTCCAGTGGACATTCCACTTTCTTGTCTTCACCCCTTACTTGATTTCAACCATCCTGGTAGAGCATCCTGGCATCAACCCACCCTTGCCCTGACCCATCCTGATCTCCACCCTCTCTTGGTTTCCAAAAATCCATCCCATTGCCTTCACCCATCCTGGCCTTCACCCACCCTGACCTCCACTCCCCTCCCTTACCTTTACCCACCCCATTGCCACCACCCATCCTGACCTCCACTCCCCTCTCGCACCTTTACCCACCCTATTGCCACCACCCATCCTGACCTGCACTCCCCTTGCTTACCTTTACCCACCCCATTGCCACCACCCACCCTGACCTCCACCCCTCCTGTACCTTTACCCATCCCCTTGCCACCACCTCAGTCCTGGTCTGTAGTGCTATGGTAATGTACTGCCTGATATTTAACATTGATTTGCTCTTTACTATCTTATCAGGTGGTGAGCATGATCTGCTATGGATACCAAGAACTTTGCCGAAAAATATATTTATGTTGCTGTCTACGCTTCCTGGACGGGTAGGTAGTCAAAATTATCTGTACCCTTTAGAATTCAATATCACATGGAACGTTTAAGGATCTCTTCACGAAAATGTTTAAAAGTTGCTTCTTGTTGAAACAATTGCTGTTCTGTTTCAAATTAAATTTATTAATTAATTTTCATGCATTTTATGAGTTGATGTTATATTTTGATTATACATCTTGTGAAGATATGGGAAAATTGCTTTGCTTTCTTGTGATTAATGACAACGGAAGTTAATTATATAGAGAAATACAAAGTTGATTTGAAGTACATGTGCCTTTTGGATTTCTATGAGAATTAGGTTACAAATTGATCAATATCCCTTCTAACAATATATAGTATTTTGATGAAAAAAATGTTATTGAATATTCCTAATTAAGAAAATGACAGGTCTAAAAATTCGGATTTAAGGCGTATGAAGCTGTGAAAGCTGCAGGCTGGCATAGCATGAAAGTGGAGCCGCTAGACCTATCCCAGAAAAGGGAGATAATCATTGGCTACCTAGAGGGAGTGTACTCAAAGACATTGAGCGATGAACAGAAACAGATGATAATTGACGCTCCTCAGACCAACAACCCCTTGTATTTACGTTCCCTTCTGGATGAGGTCAGTGTCCCTGATAAATATACCCATAAGGCAAATATTAAACAAAATATTCATCCCTAAAACCAACAGTCTTCACACTAGATAAGTGTATCCCCTAAACTGGTCCAAATTGTCAGAACTCTGAGGAATATAGGAGACTAGTGCGTAAAAAAAGTGCATGACTTGGTTTTTAAAGGATATTTGTATAAGTAATTATCATTTTTACATGCATATCGCACATAGCACCAATTATACTAAGTCACTGTTTCTCTGGTAGGTGAGAGTTTACGGCAGCTTCAGAACCCTTACACAGAAAATCCAGGAGTACCTGTTGGCTGGAAATCCAGGCGATTTGTTTGCGAAGATTCTTGAGAGGCTTGAAGGTGATTTTGAAGAAGGCATAGACATGAGGTAAGATATATTAATCAGAATAGAGAAAAATTGGCTGGGTTTTGATCTGAAGGTAATCTGTTTAAAACATGATTTATGCTCAAACTATATTTGTACTTTATTGTTGCATATTAATAATACCCAAAAACACATCAGGTGTTGTCAGCTATGAATACATTTATGAGGCTTTGTGTGTGGGATGCATGAAACATGCCTTTAAATAGCTTTTCGTGGGAGATCATACTAATTTGAAGCTGAGGAATATATTAAGGTGGAGCATAAAGTTGTCTTGATTACCTTCAGAACAGCAATAGGTTATGTATATGTGTGTGGGAGTTGGAATTTGGATGGGGATGTTGTTAACGTACTTCATAATTTAGTGCAATCAAATTTTAATGTATTTTGTCATTTTGGCAAACACAAAGATATATTCACGCATCCACAATAATTAGGAGAAAAGCAGCATACAGAATTTGCCATTGACACAGTCATACTTTAGGTCATATTTCAGCTCAATACTTTCAGTGCAAAAATTAAAAGGGCTGAAATATTATTGCCACTAAATCTGTACGTTTACACCTACCTTGGTATACAGAAAAGTTTTACATATGTGTTAATACTTGTTTGTAGAATATGTGTTAGTAGTTGATAATAATAGTGGCTCTGGATACTTTAACATCTATCTGTTTAATAACTTTGTTATAGATTTAACAACTGAAGTGTACTAAGTTCAGTATCAGAATTAAGGTTGTTATTTTTGGCGGTTTCTGTTTTCCACTTTTTTTAAGAAATAAAATTGCAAAAACAGATGCCTTGCTAAATAACATTGAGAGTGAATAGGGTATTTAGGGATGGATGCATCTAGAAATTGGGATATCTCTGGGTGGGATATCTGGAATGGGATATTTAGGGTGGAGATATCTAGAGATGGGGATATCTAGGTGTGAGGGTATCTGACTGGGATATGTAGGGATAGGGGTATCTAGAGATAGGTATATCTAGAGGTAGGGGTATCTGGAGATAGGGGTATCTAGAGATAGGGATATCTAGGGATATGGATATCTAGAGATATGGATATCTAGAGATAGGGGTATCTAGAGATAGGGGTATCTAAAGATAGGGGTATCTAGGGATAGGGGCATCTAGGGATATGGATATCTAGGGATATGGATATCTAGGGATATGGATATCTAGGGATATGGATATCTAGGGATAGGGATATCTAGGGATAGGTGTATCTAAAGATAGGGGTATCTGACTGGGATGTGTAGGGATAGGGGTATCTAGAGATAGGGATATCTAGAGATAGGGGTATCTAGAGATAGGGGTATCTAGAGATAGGGATATCTAGGGATAGGGGTATCTAGGGATAGGAATATCTAGAGATAGGGGTATCTGGAGATATCTAGAGATAGGGATATCTAGAGATAGGGGTATCTAGAGATAGGGATATCTAGAGATAGGGGTATCTAGAGATAGGGGTATCTAGAGATAGGTATATCTAGAGATAGGGATATCTAGAGATAGAGGTATCTAGAGATAGGAATATCTAGGAGTGGAGAGAGCATAGTGTTAATTACTCACTGTCTTTCCTGCCTTGTTTTATCTTATTCTGAATCAATTGTCATATGTTGAGAACCTCTAAAAAGATTTGACTCCTATTTATCCCATACTTTGATAACGTCAATTTCTTAGTCTGATCAGATTCTTGTTTGTATATGATAACATCAGCAATCATGTCTTACAGAATTTTTCTTGTCTGCCATAAAATGTTGGAAAAAAATCATCAAAAATAACAACCTTTACAACGTTCACTAACAATCTTCTGATGTTTATTTCAATGTTGTGGATACATGTGTGTGGTTTCTGTAAATCTATATGATCTGTTCTAGCAATACTTAACTATGTTTAAATTAGCTTTCATGTCTTACAAAGTGCTTTTGAGCTTTGGTTCAGTGTCTGTCATCATTTCTGTTACGTATACAACAGAAGTATTTTACATATATATTAGACAAAGTTTAATGTTATTTTGTCCATTGATCATATGTGAAATTGACTAATCTAATCTAATTTCAAGGTCACAGGGGTCAAGTGGGATGACATATATTCATTGAATTATACAGAAATGGGAGACCCTATACATTAGCTATAATTTGGTGTTATCTATTTGTTGGGAGATTGTACAGGCGGCAAAGTCCTAAAATACAGCAGCACTTCTCATACACATTTAGAAACAGATCATCAGAATTATGAATTGGAATTGAAATTGAATTGGAATCATACAGCTGTTTTTGTCCATCTATAGGACTGGTCAATGATGCTGTATCATACAGCTGTTTTTGTCCATCTATAGGACTGGTCTGTTTTTGTCCATCTATGACTGGTCGCTGTATCATACAGCTGTTTTTGTCCATCTATAGGACTGGTCAATGACGCTGTATCATACAGCTGTTTTTGTCCATCTATAGGACTGGTCAGTGATGCTGTATCATACAGCTGTTTTTGTCCATCTATAGGACTGGTCAGTGATGCTGTATCATACAGCTGTTTTTGTCCATCTATAGGACTGGTCAATGACGCTGTATCATACAGCTGTTTTTGTCCATCAGCTGTTTTTGTCCATCTATAGGACTGGTCAGTGATGCTGTATCATACAGCTGTTTTTGTCCATCTATAGGACTGGTCAGTGATGCTGTATCATACAGCTGTTTTTGTCCATCTATAGGACTGGTCAGTGATGCTGTATCATACAGCTGTTTTTGTCCATCTATAGGACTGGTCAGTGATGCTGTATCATACAGCTGTTTTTGTCCATCTATAGGACTTATCTGTGATGCTGTATCATACAGCTGTTTTTGTCCATCTATAGGACTGGTCAGTGATGCTATATCATACAGCTGTTTTTGTCCATCTATAGGACTGCTCAGTGATGCTGTATCATACAGCTGTTTTTGTCCATCTATAGGACTTATCTGTGATGCTGTATCATACAGCTGTTTTTGTCCATCTATAGGACTGGTCAGTGATGCTGTATCATACAGCTGTTTTTGTCCATCTATAGGACTGGTCAATGATGCGGTATCATACAGCTGTTTTTGTCCATCTATAGGACTGGTCAATGAAGCTGTATCATACAGCTGTTTTTGTCCATCTATAGAACTGTTCAATGATGCTGTATCATACAGCTGTTTTGTCCATCTACAGGACTGGTCAGTGATGCTGTATCATATAGCTGTTTTTGTCGATCTGTAGGACTCATCAGTGATGCTTATTACAGCTGTTTTTGCATCTAGGCGTCAGTGATGCTGTATCATACAGCTGTTTTTATCCATCTATAGGACTGGTCAATGATGCTGTATCATACAAAATGATGAACTGAAAAAATGTTAAAATCAGTGATGCTGTATCATATAGCTGTTTTTGGATGTGCACTGATGCTTATTTTACATAATTCAATAAAGTCAATAAAGATAATTTCAACATATCTGATTAGTTTTGAAGACTTCATTTACATATGTATATTCTGAACCGTGGCACTTTTGGAATGGATTAAGATGTAACATGCAGGTTGTGTTAAACACCAGGCACTAATAGCCCACCAGCATTGTCTACCACCTGCCATGTAAAATATTCTGTTATAAAATTTTCTCAGATGTAGTAACTTGACACTCATTTAATGCTGATCAGCAATGTGATAATATCCTCTGGTTTCTTGTACTGAGACACATGAAGGTTAAAAGTCATGTTAATTGATATGTGAGAATTGGATAGGGAGAGAGTTGGTTAATTATGCCTTGACCTGCTATCGAGGAAACATCTGTTGCCATATTTTGTTTCAAATATTTTCCTGTGCAGGTTAGAAATTGTGATCAAAGAGAATGACCTAGAACTCTTCGTATTAAAAGCTAGATCCATATATTTAATATAAAATTCTGATTATGTCCTTGTAAATATTGTCATTATTGCTTTGTTAGCTAGAATTAACTTTGCAGGTCACAGGGGAAAAAAATGTGTGAAAATTCTTCTTAGGAACCATAAAGCTTTGAGTCATCATATTATCTGATGCTGTATAGTAATGGGCTAACTCGTGGCAGGTTACAAGTCTGTGAGAGTGGATTCTCTCCCAACATCACCAAATTAGAAAAAATTGAAGAAATGATGATTTTGTTTCTTGAGACGTATAACAGATATCACATCCAGCCTAATAAAAACAAAAACACTGCTCACACTTTGTTGATTAATTTTTATTTCCTTTGTCTATTTTTTGCTTTTCTTGTTATGTTATTTGATGTACAGCTTCTTATTAACACCATTAATTTCATTTGGTTATTAATTCTCAATGCTGATGTGACTTGTTGACTGTAGATCAGATTGTTACCATGACACATTCTAAAAAAATTTTTAAACAAACAAATGCTTGTACATATACATTGTATTGTAACAGTTGAAAAATGGGAACAGTTTTTATGGAAACTTAATAATCTATCATACGCAAAATCAAATTTGCTTTTGCCTACATAAGATTGGATTTGTTAGAAAAAATTATGAAATTGAGATCTGATCTACAAGTTACAAGGGAAGAATCCTATCAATGTAACACTTTTTGTCTTTCTAACCTAGCATGTTTGTGTTTTCCATGTGTTTTGTGTTTTCACTAACCTGTGACCAGTACTACTAAATGGACACATGAAATGTGGTAAGTTTTGATTAAAATTTTCTTATAAATAATGGTAACTTGTACCTCAATATTAAGTAGATAAAGATAAAGATTATAGAAACAGATAGGATTATGTTAAAAACAAGCCAGCATGTAGTATCAACAATGTATGCTTTCACCTGAATAACCAGTATCATTAGAACAAATACGGGATGGTGAGGATTGTTAAAAGTCCAAATTACTCGATCTAACTTAACCCCTGACAAATATTGTAAAGATATTGTATAATGAACAGTACCTTAAATCAGCAACAACTGTTGATTCCGTTGATGTATGCATTGTTCTCATTTAAGAACATGACATTAATTATTTTGTTTGACCAATGTTAAAATGGCATGTGTCATCAACGAAGCTGAAGATGCTTACTCTTCCAGAACACCTGGTCTTATTCTCCTTGTATTTTTTCAGGAGTCTCTGTATAAATTTTTCTTTTGTTCATATTTTGCCCTAGTTTTATGGAATTGGAGTTTGAATGATGATTATGTTGACATGTTGGTATTTTTTTGTTGTTTATTTTTTTTTTTCTACATGTAATAGGACCTGGTCCTCTCTAATTCTGTTGATAATTACACTGATATCTTTTCCTTGAATTAATTACTCAGTATTATAGGTAAGTAGAAACTGAAAGACTGTCCTTTTTTTTCTCTCGTTTTTTAACAGATTGTTAGAAAAAACTTTTGGAATCAAAAACAACATTGTTATCTTTTCTGCTGTAAATAGGAGTTATTATGATAGAAAAGGAGTTATTTCCCTACCTTGAATCTCATGTGCTGGAGTTAAAAAGACTTAATGTTTGTCAATGGCTTAGTATACTACTGGAAAACAAGTGATGAAAAGGAGGGAATTTACGGTTTTTTCAACTGCTATAATTATTCTCATAATGAAAAATTACCTCAGTGTAGTTGGAAGGTAAAATTTAAAAGACATATTCCAAACTGAATGAAAAGAAACAGTCGATTGAAAAATATTTGATTGTCACTTCATTCTCCATTTACAGAAACAATTTTTTCTGCATAAATAAAAGATATGTAAAGGCAATATGACAATAGTGATCATGGAACAGCACCGACCAGCAGTTTGCATGTTTGAAGTTACCCCCCCCCCCCCCCCCCCCCCATTCCCCCCAGCTTCCATTTCAAAATATTTCGTGATGGTGATAACTAATATTGTCAGCCTTTTGCCCTTTGGCAAACAATGTTACCTAGAAAACAAATATCCATGTTTCCATTTGTCAGGGTTAACAACTGTTAAAATTAATACTCTGTCGTTTTATTATCTTATAGCTTGGTAAGTTATTGACCAATTCAGTAGTATAACTGTCTTGAACATTGCTCCACTTCTTATTACAGGAAAAGTCTAGTGAAGGATACTACAACTGCTATTTGGTGTTCACATCGAGGAATGGCAGAAGGAGAGCTGACCGAGTTTCTAGATGTAAGAATCAGTTTGTTTCAAATAGCTAGGAAATATATGTTTTTTTAATCTTTTTATGAAAATATATCTGTTTGTTACCCAATTATCTGGGGTTTATCTCACTTAATCTTTTACAAACAATGATGATAAAAAATTTGAAACAGTGTACTATATGTACATGTAAGTCATTTAAGGGCTAAAATACAGAGTTATGGCCCTTTAAATTTCTTCAAGTTCACTCTAAATGAAGCTGTAGAGGTTTTACCTTTTGTTAGAAGTTGACACTGGCATTTTGCAATTTTTTTTTGAAGTTCTCTTTGAAATGTTGAAGTTTTGCACATTGAATGAATGTCAGTGAAAGTGAGTCCTGTCCCATATTTTAATGACCTTTTGCTTTTTCTTAAAATGAATTTAATGAAACTAAACTTTTATAACGTGGCATAGCATTATGAATTACTAACTATACCTGGCATACTTGTTCATTTCGATCTTTTGAATCAGTAGAAAAAACCTGTGATTATGTTACTAGATTTTACAGTCTTGATTTTGTTACTAGATATTACAGTCTTGATTTTGTAACTAGATATTACAGTCTGGATTTTGTAACTAGATATTACAATCTTGATTTTGTAACTAGATATTACAGTCCTGATTTTGTTACTAGATTTTACAGTCTTGATTTTGTTACTAGATATTACAGTCTTGATTTTGTTACTAGATATTACAGTCTTGATTTTGTTACTAGATATGTTACTAGATATTACAGTCAATTTTGTTACTAGATATTACAGTCTTGATTTTGTTACTAGATATTACATTCTTGATTTTGTTACTAGATATGTTACTAGATATTACAGTCAATTTTGTTACTAGATATTACAGTCTTGATTTTGTTACTAGATATTACATTCTTGATTTTGTTACTAGATATGTTACTAGATATTACAGTCAATTTTGTAACTAGATATTACATTCTTGATTTTGTTACTAGATATGTTACTAGATATTACAGTCAATTTTGTAACTAGATATTACAGTCTTGATTTTGTTAACAGGTTCCAAGTGCACTGTGGTCACCATTCTATTTGTCTCTGGTAGAGAACTTGGTCAACCGTAACGGTGTGGTGAACTTTTTCCATGACCATCTCCGCCAGGCAGTAGAAAAGAAGTACTTGAGTACTCCAGAGGAGAAGAAAGAGGGCTTCAAAAAGCTAGCTGACTACTTCTCAACCAAAAGTCTGGATGACCGTGTGGTAAGTTCAACAAACACATATTGTCTAGAAAAAGTTTCATACTTGAAGTATGAGAATAAGATTTTGGTATGATTTTTTGATTTCTGGGATCTGTAAATGTTACACTGTTCTTGTCATCTCATCGGGCCACTTACACATAGTGTCCCACTTATATTAAAGAACATTAATTAATGTTTACTTGCAAAATATCTTAACTTAAGGTGTGGAGACATCAGATTAATGATTCTGAACTTACACCATTAAAAATAATAGTGAGATGTTGTTCAACTTTAGATAAGTATAACGTAATGAATCAATATGCTATAGATAAAAGACAGCAGGATAGATGTAATTGATTTAATAAGAGGGAAGATTTAAATTTCTACCGCTTCTGCTTGTGTGGGGTATAACATAATATACCCCATGTGGAACATTCATGTTAGATAACTCTATCTCATGTGGAAGCGTTAAGTGATGTTTGCCGTTTGGATGTCGGACTCCATCTCGTGAACATAATTAATCATTTCACATGCTCCTGATGATGGGATATCAGTGGTCTTTACATCTGAAGATATACCTGTCATATACGATATTTTTTTCTGATCTTTTCAAAGAACTGGCTTCAGTTTTGTATGTCACATGTGAACTGTGCCATCTTCAGCACCGCATACAGATTCTTGATAGAAATCGTGATTACCAAACATTTGTGTAAGAAACGAGAGAAAAATTGTCTACCACATGTACATACATGTATGTAAGATACCCAGATATTCTTTCGTTGGGTGTAGAATTTGGGTTCAGAATCTTGACAAAGACTTGTTTCCGCTAAAAAGTTTATACCCTTAGGTAGAATATCCATTTTCCACATACTTACCTGTGGTTGACTCCATTTAATCATGATATTTATAAAAAATACCTAGTCTACATCAATAGTCTCGCTACGTTTTACACTCGGTCAGGCGTAAAGAGGGTGTCCTTGTTTGTATATGTTTTGGTTGATGTGTAAAGTGTGTGTTGCTATAGGTTGACGAGTTACCCTTCCTGCTGGGAAAGGCTGGAGAACTGGAACAACTCAAAGAAACTATAAGTGACCTACAAGTCTTCTCTAGGCTGGCTAAAACAGAGGACGGCAAATTTGAACTCATCAAATCCTGGCAAATGGTAAGATAACTTTTATTGGAAACAATAACCATTGGTTTGGCCGTTGTTTAATTTGATTGGTTGGATTGTCCTGTAGTGTGCCTTCAGTGGTATATTTTAGTGTGGTCATACTGAAATGCCAGTATCAGTTCCACACATGAACATAAAGCTTCTTCTCACAAACACATGTGCTTATCTCACATCCTTTAATGACCACAGCTGTTGATAGGCTATTAGACAAAACCAAACAAAGCTTTTATCTGAGAGCATCTCTCTCCTTAATCAGTGTCCTATTATTGTTTCTTTACTTAATATACTCTAGAGATTAGCAAACAAGTTAATATAACACAACCAGTTGAAGATTAGAGTGTGACATTTCAATGACTGCATGGTCACCTTCATCAGACAAATGACCAAAAGGTAACCGCGTAGTCATCGAAACGTCACACTCTAATCTTCTACTGGTTGTGTTATAAGAACTTCTATTTTATTGACATTACCAATCTAAAGAAAATCTTGAAAAAAAACCCTCTAGATATTTTTAAATAAATATACATTGTAGCTTTGGACTCAAAAAGCCTAAAATTTCTTATGGTATATAAAGTGTTATCTTAATCACCTTGTAAATAATCAGGTGTGTATTTGCTTATTGTCATAGCTTGGAGACTATAGTCAGGCAGAAATCGCCTACCTGGAGAAATTAGATGAAGTGAAGGATGAAGACAAACACTCAGAAGAATACATGCAGTTGCTGGACCTGCTCGGTGACTTCTTTCTACATCTTGGACTGTTCAAAGCATCCAGGTACGTCTTCCCAATGCTTACATATAGATATTTCTTTGAAAAAAAATTCTTGACTTCATGTACGTTCCAAATTTAAAGCGACATTTTATTCTCTGTGATATCTTTTCCTTATTAATTTACAAATTTTTCAAAGTTACATTTCAATTTATCGAAATAAGAAAATAACAAAAAAGGTCGAAGAAGATGCATCATTTATAATATGTATAATTCTACAACAAACTACTTACTTTCCTTATGGGTAATTTTCCTGTTAGCTGTCTAAACTGGCCTGAAACCATATTATATGGTAGATTTACTAGATAATGCGTGAATAATGATGGGGATCGTTACTGTAGGAATGTAAATGAACTGTTATTGGAACAACTGGAAGCAAGATATGCAGTATCCCATGGAGTGGTTGTCTACAACAACAATACTTATAACTGGAATTACCGCTGTAAACACCCTGATGTCATCAAGGTTGGTGTTATCCACATCTTGCTTTTTTTAAAATGACTTTTTGACATGTAGCATTATTAACAACTTCATAATATTCAAAAGTTCATCCTATTGGTCATAAATAACCAAAAACTTTTAGATTGTTCATGTCATTTTTAACATAGTTAAATAATTCAAATGGAAATGATTCTATTTTGATATCTCTGACAAAATCAAGGGTTGGAATGGAGAATTTTGTAGTTATCACTTTGTGCATGAATTATCTATGCCTGCGTTCATCCTTTCCTGTACATTCAAAATAGGTTAAAAGGTGTATCAGGAACCCTGATAACACAGTTCTATCACATTTACATCATATTTAGTCATTAGTCAAGGTTAATAGGTGAAAGGTCACTTACTGTTTTGGGATTGTGTATACCTGTTGCCATTATCATGTGGATAACTATGTCTCTATCACAATGTCAGGGTCATGGAGAGTCAAAGGTCACACTTAAATAACTGATTAACTAATAGGCCTGCAATTGTGTAATCTGCCTGATAAGTTCCTGGGGGTAAACCCTTCAAAGTTTATGAAAATAAATTACCTTGACTCATATAAAATGTCACAGGTGCCAAATAAAGTTAAACCTTCAAACGTCGCCTTTTGCTGAATAATCAAAAGACATACAAGTATGATACATCTGTACTGCAGTGGTAGATTTCTGGGATGAAGCCAGCTGACAAAGTTTTCAGAAAAGGAATCACATTACCCCATATTCTGGGTTGCAGTGGTCACAATTTTGTTAAAAATTTGAAATGACATCTGATCATCCGATTGATGGCGGCATCATTTATAAATAGTATTGTGATCAATGTCAAGGTCATTTATATTCATATCATGAACTATCATTATAAAGTGGAATCTGTCTAAACTGGACACCATTGGGACCAAATGATTTGGACAGTTTGTAGAGACTTCCAGATTGTAGAGAGTCCATTGTTATAATATTGGGACTTAATTATTTGATCGGATTAGGCAGATATCTTGATTGCACAGAGTCTGGTTTAGACAGAGTCCATTGTATAACAATGGCTTTTATACCAAGAAGGAATCATGGTACTTAGGTTGTATGATGTCAAATTTTTATAAATGACCTCAGAAAGGTCATGATATACTTTATATAGTTGTAAAAGGAACAGGTCAGTATTACTTTTTTGTAGTGTTGAATAGGTCTTTGTCACTCAGCTGATGAAACATATGCCCCCTTGGGTCAGTTGGTAAAGCCAGAGCCCCAGGTTCAATTCCAGATCGGATCACTTGACAGGAAGATGAATTTTCCCTGTTCTTACACATAGTAAATGGTATTTCATACCATTTACAACTGTATTACCCAATTTCCTTTGAAGGCCATTCATCTTATGTATTTGTTACACTGTTACGCTAACATATTTACATCCTGCAATCACACTTAATGAAACATCTTCATACTCTAGTACTATAGTGATCAGCTATGTTAAATGACTACCTCAGTCTGTAAAATGACCCCCTCTGTAACATTTAAAAGCATTCTAGTCTATTTTTCACTTTGAGTAGAAAAAATTTTTTTTTTTAAAAGCAATGTTTCAAGTAAAAATAATCAATGAAACAGAGAGAAAGAAAAAGAAAAAATCAATAAATCAATACAAGCTTCGAATAAAAACTGAATTATTTATTTATTTTTTTCTATAAACTGATTAAACGTTATTTCATATCTTTATATACATGTATCTGTATGCTTAGAAACAGAAAAAGAAATATTCGTTTCATGACCTTTAATTTTAATGGAAAGGTTACTGGGTGGTATAATTGTTTAACAATTGTTCACAGTCTCTACACCAACTTGGTATGGTGTGTGAGAAACAGATGGAACTGGAGGCCGGGGTCAAATATTACAAAGAGGCCATCAATAGACAAAACAGGATCGAGACTCCTAGTCAGAAACTGCAGGTATGTTATTTGATTGTACACTCACATGATGAGTTCAAACCAAATTTCTACCGATTTGTCTAAAATAAGTAAGGAGTTGATAATTGATTCATAGCAGTATATTACACCACAGTGTGTTTTGAGCTGATAATTTACTAATTGAAATATATTGTCTAGTGGTAAGTATGGAGTTGAAAATTGACGATATACCCCACAGTGAGTGAGGAGTTGATAATTGACTAATTACAATATATTGTCTAGTGGTAAGTATATATTGACGATATACCCCACAGTGTGTGAGGAGTTGATAATTGACTAATTACAATATATTGTCTAGTGGTAAGTATGGAGTTGAAAATTGACGATATACCCCACAGTGAGTGAGGAGTTGATAATTGACTAATTACAATATATTGTCTAGTGGTAAGTATGGAGTTGAAAATTGACGATATACCCCACAGTGAGTGAGGAGTTGATAATTGACTAATTACAATATATTGTCTAGTGGTAAGTATGGAGTTGAAAATGATGTGATTGATATACTGTCTATTAGTGAATATGAAGTTGATAATTGACTAATTAAAGTATATTTTCTATAAGGAGTTGATAATGACATGATTGATATACTGTCTTTTAGTGAATATGGAGTTGATAATTGACTGAATACAGTGTATTGTCCAAAACCCAGTATGACAACGATAAGGATGTGATCGCTATATTTTCCAGTAATGATTATGAAGTTTAGATTTGACTGAATACAATGTTTTCAAACTTTGAGTAAGGAATTGATATTTGATTAATTACTATATTGACAAATTACGAGATTGTCCTACAGTGAGTATTGAGTTGATGATAGTCATATTGTTTTATTTGAGTATGGTGTTGACTTAATAACAAATTATTATTATTCCCAATTTAACAAACTAATTATTAAGGTGACTTATTACAATACAAACTAGTCATACTTCATTTTGTGTTTTTAAGCTTTGTGAGGGCTTACTTGGCCTAGCCACTGTCTACAACCTACAAGAAAACAGAAAAGAAGCCAAGAAGTTGTTGGTTCGCTGTCTTGAGCTGGCCACTGATGTTTTGGGACCAAACCATCACTATGTAGCTGCCATCTACAACAAGGTGACTTTGTGCTTCGAATGTTTGAGCTGTTTTTGTGTGCATTTGGATTGTCTGTACTTATCAGAATATCCAGACCGAAGTAAAATGATAGGTCTTTGTTTTCTTTGATATTTCTGTCACTTGAGTAAGTTATTTTTCATAAACTTGCTTTGTAACTTTTAAAATATGTGTTACGAGAGTGGAAGTATTAACATATGAAACATTGGCGTGTTTGTATCACCCATTTCTACCACAACAAAAAGGTTATTCTGAGGGTGAATTGGCTTGTTCTGCACCACCATGTGTTTATATTGATAACATCAGTTGTGGCGTAACGATATAACCTGCGGAAATACCACTAATTATATGCAAAACTGTCAATTTCAGGATTATACAGAAATATTAGTATTAATTACAAATCATAACGAGTAAGAAATTAATAGAATTAAATATATAAATCAAAATATTACAAAATGATTACTTATTTCATGTTTTAATTTCCAGAAGTGCATGTAATGTGCTTTCAGATAAAGCTCAGCTTCTCAGCCAATCAGAAGGTCATATACCAGTTGGGTAATTGCATCATAGATTTATCATACCATCAAAATTCAATTTCTCAACCAATTAAAAGGTCAGAAGGTCATATACCAGTTGGGTAATTGCATCATAGATTTATCATACCATCAAAGTTCAATTTCTCAACCAATTAAAAGGTCAGAAGGTCACATACCAGTTGGATGATGATATCATAGGTTTATCATGCCATCAGCACATTGACAGAACAGTCTGAGAGTGCAGTAACAAAATGTATTGTGGTAGCTGTTCCTGTTGTATAATCTTTATCACTTGAGAGTACACTATGTGTCCTAACACTTACTGCGTCAACATTGTGTTGTAAATGGATACGAAACCTCTCCATTACATATACGTTTGTTCTCAGTTATACTTAAAATATCACCAAAGCTCTTCTGTGTAATATAATCCCGTTTTATGTGTGCATTTATCTATAGTATGAAAGTAAATTATACTGAGAAGCTTTTACACTGTATCTGTATGTATGTACCATCTATACCATCAAGGTATACTTAGGGTAAAGGTCAATTTAAATATTGAATGATAAATACTGAGAGCCTTTTGAAGGAATTAATATTTAAGGTGGTTTTAGGGAATACACAGGGTCATCTCAGGTACCATTGGTCTTAGATATGCCTCCTGGATGACTTTACAGAGACAATTCAGTCTTACATGTAATACTAGATGTCTGCTGTTTCATTTGTCTACAGCTGGGCGAGTTGTCCTACAGTCAGAGTTAATACTAGGTGTCTACAATACTGTTTCTATTGTCTACAGGTGGGCGAGTTGTCCTATAGTCAGAATTAATACTAGGAGTCTACAATACTGTTTCATTTGTCTACAGGTGGGCGAGTTGTCCTATAGTCAGAATAAATACTAGGTGTCTACAATACTGTTTCATTTGTCTACAGCTGGGCGAGTTGTCCTACAGTCAGAGTTAATACTAGGTGTCTACAATACTGTTTCTATTGTCTACAGGTGGGCGAGTTGTCCTATAGTCAGAATTAATACTAGGTGTCTACAATACTGTTTCATTTGTCTACACTGTTAGTCAGAATAAATACTAGGTGTCTACAATACTGTTTCATTTGTCTACAGCTGGGCGAGTTGTCCTACAGTCAGAGTTAATACTTGGTGTTTATGATACTGTTTCATTTGTCTACAGTTGGGCGAGTTGTCCTTAAGTTAGAATTAATTCTAGGTGTCCATGATACTTTTTGCATTTGTCTATAGTTGGGCGAGTTGTCCTACAGTCAGAATAAATACTTGGTGTCTACAATACTTTTTCATTTGTCTACAGCTGGGCGAGTTGTCCTACATTCAGAACATGCTGGACAAAGCCGTAGGCTACTTCCTCCAGGACCTCAAACTGACCCGGAGTGATGTTGGTATGACTCACCCAAGGATAGCTGGTATCTTGAGTGACCTTGCCATTGTCTATGATGGCCGAACTGATCCACTTGCCGGTCAGATCTATGAAACTGCCTTGGCCATGCTTCTTGACACCTATGGTCATTCGCATGTCGATGTTGCTGTTGTCAGGTAAGTGAAAAATATAAAATCAGACAAAATTTGCTTCTGACATACAAATACTGCAATTAGACTCATTTACATCTGTACAATTGAATATATCTTGGTAAAATGTGTTGGTCCTTATAATTCTATCAAATTCAAAACATTTTGGATTAACTTTATATAGTAAATCACAAGGATGCATTTTCCTGTATTTGGTGTCCTAGAATTACAACAGTTTTATTTAATTGAAAAGTAAGGTTGTTTATGGCATCGTTGAAGAATTGCGCATTTATATAATACAAAGGACAGAGATATAATTGTAATCTATTGTGTTCAGATTCAAAAGATCTGATCCTCAATCGTTAAGTGAGCCCTAAAGGATTGAATGGTAGATACTTGTGTACATATATAATGGGTTATGATTATTTCCTATCCTTTCAAGTTTATAGACTTCAAAGTCATCCTAGTTTGTTTCACTCATGCTCTCTTGCGATATACTGGTGTAGCATGGTATTGTGAAGCCCGGGGAAATGAACAGGAATCATTGCGGTTCACTTTTCCACGGGATTCACTTTATCATACTACACCAGTAGATGTTATGGCACATCACGGTCTACTTCCCAATTGATATTTTTTGATAATATTCAGTTTAGAAGAAATGACTTATAAAATATCATGTGACAAAGCATTAATAATTCTAAATGAAATACCATGTCAAAAGATTGTAATTTTATGTTCGATCAGCTTGTAGAAAATGGTAGTATGTAAGAATGATTATAGGATTTTTGCAGCCTGTGGGAAGGTATTACACACAGTTTCAGATCGTGAAAATGTCAAACCATAAAGTTGAATTGAACTATCAAGACTTCATTCCAATTTTTACTGCATTTTTTTTATATCTATTTTTCATTATTATTGGACATAATGAGCTAATTCTGTTGAAGCAAGAGCCAACACTCTTGTGTTAGTAAAAAGTCATTATCCTCTCAGTTTTAATTCAAACTGAAATAAAATCCAGTCCATCTGACCATTGCAAATGATTTCAAAAAACTTACATGAAAAATGTTACTGTCAGCTATTCAGGAGACTGGCATACATATAGTATAGATTGAAAATTAGATTCTCTCCCTAACACAAATTGTTAATCAACAAATCAACAAATCATGCTGAACATTGCCTTTCGTTTCAAAAGTATTTCTATCTTCTTACATCTCACCTAGCTTCTGAACCCAGTGTTTGATAAAATGAAGCCCATGGTCAGGTGAATCGCAGTTCACTTCACCATTATGGTGAAATTTAGGGCGGGGCAGGGGGTGGTTCACTTTATCATAGCCATGATAATGTTAAGCCTTCCTGCCCACCCTAAATTTCTCACTCCAGACATCATTATTGTTATTTGTGTGTTCTTATGAATGAATCAGGGTAATTGGAAAACAAAAATGATGAAAAAATGTTACCATGACCATAAACAGCCTCTGTCCCACCCTAAATATCCCTACCGTATATATCCCCACCCTAAATATCCCCACCGTATATATCCCCACCCTTAGTATCCCCACCCTAAGTATCCCCACCCTTAGTATCTCCACCCTTAGTATCCCCACCCTAAATATCCCCACCCTTAGTATCCCCACCCTAAATATCCCCACCCTTAGTATCCCCACCCTTAGTATCCCCACCCTAAATATCCCCACCCTTAGTATCCCCACACTACATATCCCCACCCATAGTATCCCCACCCTTAATATCCCCACCCTTAGTATCCCCACCCTTAGTATCCCCACACTAAATATCCCCACCCTTAGTATCCCCACCCTAAATATCCCCACCCTTAGTATCCCCACCATAAATATCCCCACCCTAGATATCCCCACCGTATATATCCCCAACCTTAGTATCCCAACCCTAAATATCCCCACCGTATATATCCCCAACCTTAGTATCCCCACCCTAAATATCGCCGCCCTTAGTATCCCCACCCTAAATATCCCCACCGTATATATCCCCACCCTTAGTATCCCCACCCTAAGTATCCCCACCCTTAGTATCTCCACCCTTAGTATCCCCACCCTAAATATCCCCACCCTCAGTATCCCCACCCTAAATATCCCCACCCTTAGTATCCTCACCCTAAATATCCCCACCCTTAGTATCCCCACCCTAAATATCCCCACCCTTAGTATTTTTCGTTTTTATAGAGGAACAATATTAAGTAAAGAGATCAAAAAGTAAGTGAAGAAACATCAATTGAAAACAAGATATAAAGTGACTTCACTTTACCGGGGGAGGAGGGCAGGACCTATAATCAGAAAAAAACATGTATGTAATATATATATATCTGTTTGATTTAAACCCCATGCAGCATGTGTTATTAGAAAAATAGACCATTTTTAAAATATATATCTCTGATTTAAACCCCATGCAACATGTGTTATCAAAACATGTTGACAATAGACTTATCAAAAACAAAATGATATTTACTTCACAAACAAGCATGGATTCATTTACACAACAGCAGGTTGCCATTTCCGTTACGCGCCTACCTTACACAAGCCAGAAGATGTATTAACAAATATTTAACTGATTTTACTAAAAGGTCATCTGGCCTTCCGTTATTGAATTGTGGGATATCATACCAAAATACGTGATTTTCAGCTTTGATTTTAGAATCTTTTACCCCATTAAAGCACCAACATTGCATCAAGTTAATTGCTTGGATCAGTTAATTGTATGGGAACTTTAAAGTAAAAATACCCTTGAAATCCACAACACCTAAAAAATCTTCGAAAAGAACATTTGATTTTTCCGCTCTGTTCACCACCTAACCCCATTCTGGACTGAAAGATTTCCTAATCATGAGGGCCTGTGAACTATATTGAAGCGTATTTTTCTTTAAAAAAAGGCAAATCAAAGAAGAAATATACGGTAACACAACCATGAAAATGAACGAGTATGCGGTTGACAATATCTTTGTCGAATTCGGTTAAGATGTCTTCCAAGAGTCTTATCAACAACGAAATAAGCAAGAACGGCTTTCTACCAAGCTGTATAATTGGCATAGTGATTTCAATTTCCCTTCTTATGAATTTTCTTTTTATGGAAAGCAGCTTCCCTGCAAAGCCAGCCTTTAGTATTTGCGTGTCGCAGTTGATTCGATATCCGAAGGCCTAGCTTTTTCTTATGTTTTTTCTTATACGGAGTTTCGAGAAATGCATGTTTTTAAAGTTTAGATAGCAATTTGACGTTTTAAAACCTTCATAGTAATTTCTTTGAGAAATATTCTATATTCTCGTTAGTATGCCTGTTGGTTCTGGTGTTGAATACATTTTTCTCATTTTGGAACATGACATTACCTACTTTGATTTGGTATCGTCGATGAAGTGGAAGGCGTTTACTTTTCCAAAACACATTGTCTTATTCGCCTTGTACTTTTTTCAGGAGTACCCATGTAAATCTTTTTGTTCATATTTTGCTCAAATATCATTTCTTCGAGACTGATACACACACACAGCAGATTACGGGATCAGTAAAATGTGGAATGAAAAAAAAACTACCTTATAAAAAACATTTCCACGAAACTGAATCTTTATACTCCAATTTCAGTATGTTTTTCCCAAAAAATTAGATATGTATGTTGTCGTATGATCTATCTGTATAGCACATGTCTCTGGTAGGGCAAAGTACATTCTGTTTTACAATAAAAACACATACCTAATAAATGTCTTATGCATGGCATTACTTAAAACGGTGATTTAAAATCAAAGATTTTACAAAAGACACACAAAGGAATAGTACCTTTAATACAAATTTAGAGTTAGATACAGTTGAGCCAGACATTGAATTATACTGCATTATACAGCTGTTTCGTCTTTCTAGGAATTCCTTAACTTTGAGGTCTAGCTAGCTAGGAGGCAATTGAGGAAAATCCAAAGTGATCGAAAGAAAAGTAGAAATCCTGATGGGGAAGTGAATTAGCTGCTACATGATGCATTAATTTTTTTTTATCTTTATCAGATAACTCCAGAACAAAAACGTCAAGGGCATGCGTGTATTCTGTATCAGTCGAATTAATTAAAGCATGGCATGCTGGTACAAGTTCACAAGCAGTGTTTATCACATGCAAGTGTACAAAAGACACACAATACAAATTTAGGGTTAGATACAGAAGAGCCAAACCATCGCTTCAATACCAACGTCATCATTAAGGTTCATGGTCTAGATGATATGGACTCTCTAGTCAGGGGGAAATTATATCTTTATATTAATTTGTTGGTTTATAACTTTAAAGAGTCGGTTTTCCAGTAATGAATACTAATTTCAATCACCATTTCAAGGTTCAAGTTTACAAGCCAAATGTTCTGAGTAGGCAACTGTCCTGACCTAGATATATCGGTCACATGCTGCGAAGGCTTGCATGATGATATATTGAGCCAATGTACAAAATCTGTACATTTAAGATAGTTTAACTTTCCGAATCATGTTTCATCAGAAGCAGAATCGGCCAACAAAACATGATTGTTACAAGTGAGTACATCTGTCTATTGAGAGACAGGTCCTTACGCACACACAATTTTCACTTCAAAAATAACCTTGTAAGGTTTTGATTGTGAAATGATTTATCAAGATTTCATAAGATAGGAATTATCAAACTACATATAATATACGATATATTTATGAATATTTTCACTTACGACCGCATGTGACATGTCTACTTTATCTAATTATTTTCACATCAATCCAAATTGATCCAGTGGTGATAATAACCTTTACGCGACTTGTTTTATGTCAGAGTCATTATATGCAACATTGTCTCATTTGTGTGGCAAAGAGGGCGAGCTTAAAGGACTAATTAACCTTTAAAGAAAAAATGCCTTTATCATGAAAAATTCGTATTAATGTTTACTTATGCTTTAATTTCCACGTCAAAAACTTAATGTCATGTAAAAAGCGTTTTTCATTTTTAGTTCCTGTTTTTCTGAAAGCTGTGCTCAGACCGAGTTTCTGTTTTGGGACTAATCCCAAAGTCATATATACCGTATGCCGGTTCATATGATAGATCAAAGGTGTATACATGCCAGAGAGACTGCAGGTAGTCTTACATAGTCAATTAATTGACAGCCTTGTCATCACACACCACAGTCTGGGGCAGGAAATGCCGTTATTAAACCTAAGAAATAGGATCAATAGGATATTCGTAACCTATGAACAGTGGTAATACTCCACCTTGTACGTGGAAGAAGTAATTATTGTGTTTCATCAATGCTGGATTAATTACAAAGTTTACATAAATAGATTGAAATCCCATAAAGTAGGTATGTATCCAGGGTTATGGGCGCTTGTTAGCCTAATTCAATTGTAGGACAAATTGGGAAGATAAATTGGATATATTTTCGTCTATATTGATTGGCTTGCTTGTTAGCTAATCTACTGGAATAAATGTAATGATGCACGTCATTGCTGGTATCGGTAAAGGTATTTTTGTGATATAATGTTAATAATATATTTCAAAAGGTAAGAAGTACGTGTATATTTTTAGCCTGTCTGGAGATTATAAGATGAAACGAACATTTGCCATTTTGTAAATTCCGTTTTATCAAAAGCGAATCGCAAATTAGTGTTACTTAAACTTAAGATTCATGACCTCTTATAAATGCACAATTTACTCTCATTGATGGGTTGTGTTGTTGTTGTGGCTTATTGGAGAACCAGTATGCCGGTCTAGATTGTCTCTGTTTGGCGTCAAGAGAGATTAGATTTTTGATGACTTGTAAGCAACAGAAATATTTGGACTCAGGTTATCTTAAATTATCGAAGTCCTATGTATTCTTTATTAATAGACCTCCTTGATAAGATGAAGAGGACCTAGGAGGAAATTGAAAAAAAAGACCTGCAGTTATTGACAATAATTAACACAAATTCTTCCGAATCTGTTATAGATTATAGAGTACCGGTATACTTATAATTTTGTATTTTGAATGGCATCTTGCGATACCTAACTTCCAATTTAAAAGTAGGTAAAACCCTTCAAGCCCTTTGCCAGACTCAACGTTTATAGCAAACCAAGTTCAATTAACGCAAGTATGCATTCGACCGAATTTGAATGAAATCTTGTCTATCATACAGAAGAGAAGGCACTTTAAAATTTGATATCTAATTTTCGGCCCCGCCCCTAAGGCCCATGGGACTGAGACCCATTGTTTATACAAAACTCAATTCCATTCACACAAGTATGCGTCAGACCAAATTTGAATAAAATCTAATCATTCCTACCAAAGAAAAATTTTAAAGATTTACAAAATTTTCCTTTTTTTTTTTTTTTAGTAATAATCCTTAAGTTCTTTTTGGGCCAAGGCACGTCAATTATACAAAATTGATGAACTTTGCCCCAAGGATGCATCTGTCGAATTTGATAAAAAATTACTTCATTGCATATTACTAGTAGAGATTTGAAGAAAATAATGACGGACGAATAAAAGAACGACATACGAAAAAGCTCGTTAAGGTTCTTTTGACCAGCTAGTGGAACTTTGTATTATCAAACGCTATTCACCGCACACATATCATTGTTGTCATTACAGGTTCAATCTTGGGACATTTTACTTCGCCACCAACTACTTCGCAAAGGCAAAATACCAACTACAGGAATCTTACAACGTCTTCCTCTCCTTCTTAGGGGCGGATCACCCCGACACCAAAGCTGCAAAGGAGGCAATGGAGGAAGTGGGACCTGTTAATAAGTAGCAGGTGTTCAGTCTGTGCGAGTGACTGTTTTAATACAAGGTTAACTCCAGATTTTTTCCCCTACAACTTCATTCTGAATCCTGGATCTATAATGACCGACATTTTCCGTGATTGTCGCAATATTCTTTGATTTATGTCTTTATGTCAGAAGTTATTTCTACGAAGATCTTGTTTCGCTGTCATGTTGAAGTGTGAGATTAGACAGCCACCGGAAAACTGATTTTATAGGTCCATTCAAGAATTTTATTATATTATTTGTTTGCTGATATTAATGTTTTGTTTTCAGATAGTCTTAACTAATAGAATTTAATGAAATTTGCGTACTTTCTCATGTCTGTTTTTATGACAGTACAGTTGTTTAAATATATACTCAAACGAGAGCTTATGTATTGCTTTCAGAAGAAATATGATAATTATGGACTGTAACATATAGAACGAGGAACGAGAATTTATGTTATCATGAATCGGTTAACGATGTTCTGGTTTTTGTTACAAGCCTTCCAAGCTTCAGTTTCCCAATGAAACAACTTTTCTTACATATTCCTAATATTGGTATTCATCACATAGCTTGCGGAGGTGTGTAAAATTCCATACGTAAATTTGAACATAAGAATTTGTAGCTGTGGAAGCTCGTTTATATGTGGATTTTTGTGTTAAGAATAGTTAATGAAACAGGTAAAACAAAAAAATATTTTTAGAAGTCCTTTATCCAGGTATCTAAATCAATAGCGATGATGGTCATCATTATTGAGATAACACTGATATGAAAATAGGCTTCGACAATCAGATAATACGAGAATTTATCAGTTTGTGATTATGTTGACTCCACATTGATGTGTACTTCTTGTTGTCTTTGTTATGCCTTATTAATACATAGCTTTCTGTAAATGTACTTAATATGCAAACATACATAATGTAGTTGATATTTTGCAAATATCATTTTGAATGAGTTTAAAGCAGATACAGACGGATGGCGCAAGTTGAAACAGTAAATTTGCATTAACCTGCACGGTTACAAGGTCAGAAGTCGTCGTAAGATAGATGGTTTGCTTAAAGATATTTTGGGTAAGAAATTCTTAAGATCTATTTTTTTCTTTCTGTTATTTTCTGTTTTGTATTTTTCTATTTGCTAATGTTGTATTTTTACAAAAATATCAATGATTATAGTAGTAACATGTTTTTTAGTTGAATAAAACTTTCCGGTGTTGAAATCATCGTTTCTGGGAAATCAGCAATTGATATATCGACGACAAAGTAGTCGCAAATGCCTTATTGTTTATACTTTCAAAGTTCTTTCTGGATTAAAAAGTATTTCCAACACATTAATAGTGGAGATGGTAGGTCGGTCTTTCTCAGTTGTATTTACACCAATGAAAAGGTCGGTCTTTCTCAGTTGTATTTGCTCCAATGAAAAGGTCGGCCTTTCTAAGTTGTATTTGCACCAATGAAATCGACATCCTGCTAATATCATGAATTCAACATCTAAATTGACAGCTTTAAAAATAGGATATTGTTTTAATGTTTCGCTACACATACTCATTCTATGGTAGTAATTTGTCCGTGTTTATGGATATATACTGCCTTCCCAATACGTCAGGATTTCAAAATTATTTTTACAAAATCTTTGTCCACGGAAGATATAAATTCCCGCATGGCTGTAAGAATTAACCCAAAACTTTATGATCAAAACAATTGTTCATTCTCGGAAGTAAAGCAAAATTTACATTGAATTTGTTTTATAAAAAATGCTAATTATTTATCAAATGAATAAGAGAGTTACAGAGTCCAATAAAACCATTTGTATATAGGAAACGTTTGTTATAAGTTGACGCACAATATTTCTGAAAATGTTTATTCTGTGACAAAAAGTACAAAAAGCCAATGATATCGGAAAGATGCCCAGCTAGAACTTTCACATATCCATTTGTTCTTTCTTCTCCATTTTTGTGTATTGCATATTTTCATTGACGAAAATATTACATTTAATGTCCCTGTTTTCGGGATCTAATATACAACGTAGAAAAAAAAGTGAACGACTATTTTTTTCTTTTATATTTTCTTTCTTAATTTGTGTTTCAATGTGTCTTAACATTTCCCGTCCATTCTACAGATCGATATATTAATTTATATTGTTATTTTTTTTTATACATTTACATTTGCAATTGGTTATACATTTATGAAAAATTGTACAGGGTGACAATCTTGAATTTAAAAAAGTATATTTTAAGATTTTGCTCTATATTAATACTCTGCACAACGTGACTTTGCTATTTTTGTTTTTAACTTTGCTCACAAGCTATGATACCTCGTTTTGTATTTTTATTTTTAGCTAATCTATTTCCCCTGTTGACCACTTCCTTTATACATTTATTGACAAATAATCAAACTCAACGTGCAATTTACACTCAATGATTATTTCTCTGTAATAATATACATTTATTTTTTTATATAAATCTCTGAAAGTTTACGCATATGAATTAAATTTTTAACATCAATGTATTAAGGAAATTGTTGAGAACGTGATATTAATATGTTTATATGTTGTATATATATACAATTATCTTTCTTTTTGCTAACTTCCTAAATATGGTTTCATTTTAACATAGTGATAGAATGTTGCTACAATACCGTGTACTTTCTTTCAGATCAAAAACCGTCCAAAACCGTTGTGTGCAACTGCAAATGGCAAAACTATTCTCGAGACCAAAATATTGATTTATCTTAGTAATAGTGTAGAGATCAGTGTCAAGAATTTGTAATAAATATCTTCGTCGTATCTTGTTGGGACGTAGATGAATAAAATGTATCAACTTCATTTTTACAGATATTCCGTCCTATTTAATTGCACCACATAATGGTGTGTTGTAGTTTGACGTTTTCGATAGAACCTCTTTTAGGTGACCGTAGAGATGCTTTTGAGCAGATGGGAGGTTGACATGCCTACTATATAGATGTAAACGAGTGTCAGGAGGACAGACAGGCTCTTGTAGTCCCCTTAAATGATATAATAAATATGTCAGTGCTTGTGTACCTTTACCAGAAGAAATTGTAGTACGAATTAATTGGTATGTCCATGCAATCTGTGATTTCATTAATAAAGATTTTTGAATTAGATGACTATTGTTGTTTTTTTAATTCTGTTTTATAACTCTTAATCAAATTTGAAAGGGACTTTAGCCACATAAAACTGGCACGATTGTGGACAAGATTTCCTTTCATACCAAGAATTTCGGCGAAGTAAGACTATGCCTGTAAACATACACGTGCTCTTATTTTTCAAGTTGCAAGCTTTATGTTTTTCTTTAGAAAATCGATGATACATGTCTGGCCAGCCGAATTTCTAGACATAAAGACATTCTCTAACACATGTTGACTGAAGATTAAAGAGAAACTCCATCAAAGTCAAAAAGATCACAGGCATATATAATTGAGTTACTATCATCTAATGTCCGGAAGGTGGCGCAATTGTAGTCAAAAGATGGAGTGAAGATACGTTTATTCAGAGTAAAACCGTTTGATTTCGTAGATAGTAAGACGGAAATTAAGTAGCGAGAATGATCGACTTATCACATCTGTGTAGAATATGTAGAACGGCAAATTTTGAATTCACGTGTGATATATGTACAGTATATGATGTAAGTAGACCATCAAGTGTTTTGGACGGACTAGTGAGCCAGCCACGCATTGCTTCTACATTTAAGCATTTTTGTTGGGATTCAACCAAGATTCATAAGAATGGTCCAAGTTTATGATACTACATATAGTGAGTTAAATTAGAACCTTATCGACGACAACACTTTTGATATTTAGTTACCGACGTAAATCTGACGTAAACTTGATGGTTCACGGTTCTCATTTGGGAACGTTACATGACGGTTGTCGTCGCATCAATGAGGCAGAAGACGCTGACTCTTCCGGAATATGTCCTCCTTGTACTTTTTCAGCAGTTTCCATGTAAATCTTTTGTTGTTCATATTTTGCCTTATTGCCATCGAATTTGAGTCTGAATTATGATTTTGTTCATATGTCGGTAGTTTCTAGGTTGTTTTAATACTCCTCGAAAATTTTCGGGTGAGCATATTGTCGCTCGCATCCATGTCCGCCCTTCCGTCCTTCCGTCTGTCATTTCAAGTCCAGAGCATAACTTTGCCCACACTTAAGCAAGGATAGTAAAACTTGGCGTATACATTGGTCATACTCAGGAGATGTGCAATGCACTGTGCCCAATGTAGGCCCCCACCCACCTTTGTTGTCTTTCATTCAAATTTTGCGTCATGAGTCAAGAGCATAACTTCGCTTGCATTAAAACTAGAACCATAAAAATGGTTGTACACAAAGACCATGTTAAGAGAATGTGTGATATGCAAAATTCAGGGTATGTAACACCTTAATTACAGAATTGTGGCCCTTTATTATAATATTTTGTCAAATACAGTCGTTTTTGTCAGCATTCATCAGGGTCACTGATACTCTTGTAAGCACTACAATGGTACTGGTAGTCTTCATTTAACTTCGCACTTTTTATCATGACGAAAACGTTACTTCTTCTTGGACAGAAAACGATATCAGAAGTCATATTGGGTTTGATTACCACGCTCTAGATGGATAGGATAAACAAAAAAAAAACAAAAACAAAAACAAAAAAATAAAACAGAAAATCATATACGAGGGATTACAAACTGTTGGCGTCTCCTATTGCAAGATGGACGTAATTTCTTGTCCATAGAAAACAGAGATAGTGCTGTGGTAAAAAGTTCTTGCAATCACGTGCTTTACTGACACGCCGTGTGTATATCTATCTCATATAATAAACCGGTAAGATTTGAAATTAGAAAGAAAAATGCACATGTGTTCATAAAAAAGATAATAAAACTTATTATGTAAGTTAAGAAAACTTAGATATTGATATAAAATATTGTTAATTTTCTATGCTAACGATAACATTAGGTCAACGTGTCTAAGGAAGCGACGGACATTTTAGTCAAAGCCGTGCTTGATAA